CCTACTAGCGATGGCCTCCAACCAATAGCGATGGCCTCCAACCTACTGTCAGCTATTCGTTGAGTGGGCCTTTGAGCTTTTTTCAGCCTTTTTGAGCCTTTGAAGGTCAGGGAAACTGCAGCAAGACAAGCTCAAATTGAAAGGTGCCGTTTGTTTCGTTCAAGCTCAGAGTATTTGAGCGGAGTTTCCGGGGGTGCGGGGTGCCAGGCGCTTGAGCCAGCTGGAGAGCCGATGAGCGCCAAAATGCAGACTTTTTGAAGGCCAAAAACTTTGAGAAACCTATCAAGCACGTCATGGTTCTACTCAGATGCAAAGCGGTCTTAGACAGTCTAAGTCAACAAGACACTATGAGTTGTACTTCAACATCGTAAGACGGCTAAGCCATGCTAAGCCTATCGAAGGTCAACACAAGATCACGCAGCAATAGTTTCAATAGCGTACTCAGTCCTGACCTGAGTCAGTTGAGCCCCTTGTGGCTCAGAAATCTGGAATCCATGAGAGCAGTCGCCCACATATATATGTTTATTTCTCTTGGCGAGATTGATTCACCCCTGGCGGTGCGCAAAAAGAAACCGCGCCGGAATATGCCTGCAGGTGCAATACGTGAGGTCCGCGCAAGAATTACTACGTATTACATCATATTACTACGTTTTTTGTGCCATCAAGTAGGATGTTAATATTATACTAATCCTGTTAGTGCCGTGTTGGAGACAACGAACACTATTAAACATGATTGAACTGATCCTGCCAAGAGGTCTGGGCCCAAAGCAAGCATATGACATGTGACATGAATAGTTGAGTGCGATATAGATGCTTTAAACGGCTTTGCGATGTGCCAATCCAAGAAGAGCCCGAAACCGCAGTTCCAAGGACAAGTAGAGAATGAAATCTGCGAAACATCCTCAAACCTACTAGCGATGGCCTCCAACCTACTAGCAATGGCCTCCAACCTACTAGCAATGCGACACATCCTCACGTTTCAAGAGGTGTTTGTAATGTTCTTTGCCTGTCCGCCATGCTCCCATGCTTCCATTGCTCCTCACGCTGCTCGTGCTCTATGGCGCCAGCGGATTTCATGCCTGTCCGCCTGCGGACTCCGCCTGTGTGGCAGAGGTCCGAAGCTCGGCCTGGAGGCTCTGGGCAGAAGTGGACAAGGCCTTGTCTCAGCGGATCTATGAGCTCTTGACGATCTATGATTGGATCCCGAAAGAGGAACGAACAGAGCGGAGGGAGGAAAGAGAAGCGGAGGAAGTCTCTGAAACTACTGTTGGTGTCTTCATGGACGAGATGTTCGACTTTGTCTTGTCCAATGAAAAATGACATAGATGACTGTTTTGGGGAGTGTGCCAAGAACCTGCAGCCATGCGTGTTGCAGTTTAAACAGGGGTGATGGCATTTGCAGAAGAGCAGAACAAATGATAGCATTTGGATAATTTGGATAGGAACCTTTAAGATAATGTCAAAGCCTTAACGCGAAGTGCCGCGGTCGCACAGCCACCGGTCCGACCACTCAGACCACGTGGTCGGACCGGTGGCTGTTGCGTCTTCCGTCCACGGCCGCCAGGAGCTGCACTCGCGCCAGAAGGCGCTTCAAGGACTTGAGGCCATGGAAGTGGCGAAGCAACTCCTGTGCGCGGCCAGCTTCGTGCGCTGCGATCCAGAAGGCACGGCCAAACTTTTGGCCTGGCAGGGCCTTGAAGGGGTGAAGATGGACTGGGAGAAGAGGTGGAAGAGCTTAAGAACATCAATTATAAGGTCAGTTTCGCTCCGGAAGGCTGACTTAGATTACCTGAATAGATGTGGATAATTTATGTCAGTATTATGTCCACCCAGTTGCACTGGCGAAGCTTGAAAAAGGAGATGGAACCCTGGGGCATGTCCGTGTTAAGCAAGACTGCAATTGTGCAAATGTAAGAACTGTGAATGTTCAATGCAACCATCAAAGGCTCCCGATATAATTGAAGTTAGTAATTACGATGAACAAGTGCTATAATTAGCCTATATAACCATAATCCCATAAGTTAGTCTTCAAGCAAACACTCAGTCTTAGAGTTTTATCATGTTTTATCCAAAGCAAAGTATGGTATGGTTTGTGCAAATCAAAAGAGCCAAGGACCACCTATCGTTCTGTATAGGTGCCAGGTTAATACAAACTGACGGTACCCTTTCCGCTGTTGTGCAAAACCAGACCCCATCTATATAGATTGGAATGATGCCTTGTTGTTGCTGGACAGGGTTTTGACAGCGTGTAAATTGTAGACTCAAACGGACACGCTTTGAACGCTTTTAACCGGATCAAACCCGGATCAGAGGAGATGCCCCATCAGCTAGCCCCTTCCTGTCTTTTTTCCATCAGTCGTCGGCGCGTTCGGGTGACCTTGCCCAAGCAACTCGTGCTCCTGCAGAAACCGTTGGTGTCGCGGTCCATGGTGCAACTTTGCTATGGAACCTGACTGCGAACTGTGTCTTTGGCTAAAACCAGGTGCCAGGCTAAAATGACATCAAGACTGTAACTAAGAATTTCCCCCAGCACTCCCAGCAATTCATAACACATGGTTAACGTGGAACTCTGCAAAAATAAGTGATAATCTTCTCACGTGTGGAAGGCGGCCATTTTGCAATATTTTTAGAACACGTTCGTCTTCTCGTGAATGTTGCAGATAGATCTGCCAGAGGTAGAACATTGGCCAATCTTCAATGCATGATTGATATGTGTATCAAAACTGGTTGGTCGACCTCACTAGTAGTCCATTCTGTTCATGTTGAATGGGTCAAGCATGCACGCTTATATACGGCCTTTTTACGCACAGCAAATCTCACGTTCCATGCTGTTAACCCTTGGGAGGAGTGAATCATGGGGTGAAGCTGCTTCAAATGGATCTGTCAGAGAGAGAAGCAGCTCAGCGGGCGGAAGAGGCGTGCACCGCGGATGTATCCGCTGTGGACTGGCTAGGCAAGTGCAGCTTTGCAATCTGGGACTGGGCCGATGCCGAGTATTTCATCTCAGCGAAGGATTTTATGTCCAACTCAGATGAACCTCAGACTTCTGAAGAGTCCGATCGATTGAACTTAAGAAAGACAGATGCCAATGCGGGATACGCCGCAGTGGTTTATCCACCCTCCCTGAGCCCTGGACATATTTGTCAGACAAGCCTCACTCCCATGAGCCCGAGCCCTGGTGAGTCAAAGGCTTCGCAACCCATCTTCGGAGGCGAAGCCTTTGGTGATGTTGCCTGGGTGGATGTGTCCAACCTGCGAACGCGTCACTTGAGTTCCATCAGTCTCCTGGAAGTGTTGGAAAACGGCAAAGCCTTTCAGGAGCGCCATCCCTTTGGCCTGTCTCGCTTTGCCATCAATCTGGGAGGTTCGGCTTCGTTTTGCACGTTCGGAACAGCTATATTTAATTAGTAGTAGGGAGTGATGTCCAACTTGCGACAAAAGGTGGATATGAATTGCAGAAACTGGGTTTTGCCGGTCCCCACTGTCACAGATTGTCACAGACTAGCAACCTGACAACTTAACTTTTTCTTGCACAGCTCTGACAGTGAGTCAACGACCTGCAGCTCTGGCGGGTCGTACAGATGTGTGTACATATTATCCCAGGAAATCACCAGTGAAGTTTCGGGAATGTGCCGCTAAAGTCCAGGTTCCAAGCTTGAGCCCCCCCAACATACCCCCGAGCTGCATCACCCTGTGTTGGTAACTGGCACGAGGATTGGGTTGAGTTCTGCCTGACTCTATTATAAGCCTCCTCCAGTACTTAGGATACAGTTTGTCGCGCATGCTGCAGGTGACCCTGAGTGGCTGTGGAAACTCTCAACCTTATACTGGGGTCATGCTGCAAGATGTCAGTTCCTGCTTGGTGACACAAACATATGTTTATGTATAGTATTTTATAGTTACTTATATATACACCGTTTGGAAAGTTGTTGGCGCAACTCAAAAAACAAAATAGCGGGAACAGCCGCGCCATGTATCTCCTTTTTCTCGCTATTTGGCCGTCATAGATGGCGCAACTGGTCTTTGGGGTGCAGAAAATTAAAATTATGCGGGATGTTTGTGCGGTTACTAGTTTTCCCTATTTCCCAAAAAAAACGGTTGGGGCCTATAGATGGCCCAATGGCCAAGTTCTGTACATTTATGATTCCTGTTGCTTTCCTTTTGAATCCTACTAATGCCCTTTTGATTCCTTTTATTGTCCTTTTGATTTCCTTTTAATGTCCTTGCAATGTCCTTTTGATTTCCGTTTACAGTATTTTCCTTTCGATTTCTCTTTGATATCCTTTTGTTCTTTCAATTTCTTTTTAATGTCCTTTGATTTCCTTTTGAATCCCTATTAATGTCCTTTTGATTCCTTTTGATTTCCTCTTACGGAGGCCCAAAAGATGGCGCGGTCCCAATTTCCGCTATTTTCTGCAAAATAGGGCGCAGCGCATAGATGGCGCAACACACCTGAATGCCCCTGATACCTAAACCTGGCGCAATTAAACAAGTCACCTCATCAATTTTCTCATCGTAGTATTTAGTTCCAGCCCAGGTTTAAAATATGTTAGCTAGACATAGGACCATGCTTCGTGATGAGGCCCCGAATAGATATTTTTTGGTGGGAAGCATGGCGATTCCATCATGAAATAATATTGGTCAACCACCACATACTTGTTCCTTGAAGTTTGCTTCTCAAGACTTCCGCATTTTGGGGTGTATTGTGGTTCCAAGATGTTCCAAGCATGCTTTTGATGTTTTTTTGACATTCAAAGTGTCAGCCGGAGAAGAGTAAAAAGATGTTTTCCAAGATTGGCTTCTCAGTTTTTGAGTCCACCACCTCTAAATCAAGCCTCGTTTCTGGCATCGTGAGGAACACTTTATGAAAAGGGCGAATGATAGTTTCCTACGAAGTGACAGCTGGTTGGCCTAATTATCGAACATGACCATTTGTAATGGACCATCTTAGATCTCATTCTTATTTAGATCATTTGGGAATACTTATATATACTGTTTTTGTATGGCCAGAGTGATCCACCTGCCGTTGAAACTACGAAACGTTTCCCAAGAAACTAACGATGACGCGTCGTATCATGCGGCGCTTTCAGAAAACTTCCCTGAAATTTCCGTCAAGTCCAGCTGCAGATGGCAGTCGAGTTCAGTTGACAGTGAGTTAATTGGCATGATCATGATCGATCATCAGGATTACGACGCCCCTGATTATGAGTATGAAGATAGCAAGATAATTTTGCATCTACATATAGGTCCAGCATCAATGCTTACAAAAGACGTCCCAGTGATTCCTGTCAAAAACATTCAAAAACAACCTGCCGCTGCGAGGTGGAGATGGTGGGTGCCGCGTGGGGCATGGGCTAGATCCGGTGAATTGCTTCTTTGTGCAGGGCTTTGGTGGTGTGGTCTTCGAGGCCAATCAGTCCTTGGAGGAGGAGCTTCAGAGCTCCTTGGGGCACTTCACACCCGACGTTCAAATCGTCATGGAAGCGGCACAGGCGGAGACGATTTCCCAGCGTTTGTTGATCGCTATGGCACAACGACCTGGGCGTTGGGTGGAAAAGGATGAGGTCGACATCATCAAAGTGGATGTAGATGGTTTGGATTGTCATTTAGTGCAGGCACTCACTTTGTCTGGATGGAGGCCAAAAGTATGGCATGTGGAGATTAACCCACTCTTTCCTCCCAACATTTCCCTTTGGCCTTCCGGTTCCAGCTTGGGAGTCGAGACGACCATCAAGCGAGATTTGACTTCGGCCTTCTCTCGCAGGAACGAGCGCGAGCATACCAAGCAAGCCTTGGTAGGATGTTCTTTGCAAGCACTGCTGGATGCTGCTGGCTCCGAATACAGCCTTCTCCACGTTGAATTCGAGAACGCAGTTTTGGTTCGCAAAGACATTTCAGAAGCGCTGGAACCATGGTTATCTTCGCGCAGCGTAGTGTTTGCCCCAGCAAAGCCACCGAGTCACTACTTGTATACTGCAGTGCAGTAAGTCCCAGCTTCCTGTTCTACCACTGCACCAAATTGCAATTCAAGGTTCAGAAGTGGAGGGACGGCTACTTTTGCCATCCGTGATCTCAGCCACTGTTGTATAATTTCAGATTTGCATAATAAACTTGTGCGTTTATTCAAGGGCAGAGGTGAACATGTTCCGTGCTGATCAGAGTTGAGACCTTTTGTAGGGGATATTGGCATCATGACCAACACCATGCTCATGCCTTCTATATCTTCTATTTCCGCGGATGGCAGGATTGCTCGCGTGCGATTGCCGCATGATCATGATGAGGACGCGGTCTGTTGTGAGGACAGGACGCTGGTTTGTTGATCCGCTTTCTTCGACAGGACTCACTTTTCCTGCACTACGACTTCAGGCGCTGGGGAGTCCCAAGCTAAGATTTTGCTATCCGAGTAGCCTTTTGCTGAAGTGTGAATCATTGATTTGGGCCACAGGACCCAAGCCTCTCAGGAGAGGATTTATTGCAGCTTGTACAGGAACACCTTCATGTTTTTTTCGATCTTTTTCGCATGTTAGACAAAAGATGAGAGGCAAGCCTCTCGATTTCCTTTTGGAAGCGGAGGCCTTCCTGCAGCAGTTCGTGGAAGATCACACATACAGAGCGTGTCTCAGGAAATCCTTCGGACGGTCCACGCCTTTTTTTCGCCGCCGCGTCTCCCGTCGCAGCGATGCGACGTCGTTCACGTCGTTGTTCACGTCACGACGGTGAGGCTTCAAGGCACCACAGATGACGTCAGGGTCCTGGGAGTCCTCAGCACCAATTCTTGGTGTTCAAAGAAAACAAAGCCTGAGAAACCAAGGAGCCATCCACCAAAGTTTGAAGTACTTCCTGTTCATCAGCCAAGCACCGCCAAGGAGCCTCCCAAAATCGGATGTCGAAGAATTCTTCAGTGTAGATGAAAAGGACCTCAACTGCGACTCGAAAAGAAGATACATTTTTCAGCCTCAGCCGGCATGTTTGGAAAGTATTGTGATGTGCTGTGATGATTGGCCGTCTTGTGCGCTGCACCGCGTCAGGTGGCCAATCATCCTTACCAACATTCAAAGCTGGAAGCATAGAGGGTTAAAGCTAGCTTTGTAATATGTTTATCTTTTTGTCATGCCCCTTCTTGACTGGTCCTTCGTAACTGGTCCTTCCCTTCTTTGACAACTTCAACGGATCACTTTTTCCACCGACCTTTTCGATGCTCAGCTCAGGTCTCCTGTCATCATGGACCTCAGGTCGAGGAGATGTGGAGGTCGGAGATATTTGGGGACGCTCAACTTTCTGTTCCGAATCGGCCCTTCGGTCGGAGGGTTTGTCCTTAGCCTGCCTTCGGGCAGAAAAGGTGATTCGGGCAAATGTAAATTCCTTGCAAAGCACCTCTCGTTGCAAGTCTGTATAGTAACACATTTCAATTCGGGCGAGAATCGGTGTGTTTGAGATCGGGCGAGAATTAGTGTGATCGAGCGATTTTGTAGACTCATGTTGCATTGCATGTATTGATCACTCGCAGAAAATATGGATATTGAGCATTAAACATGCAAAAGCACATTCGGGCGAGAATTCCAGGGTCAGGCGTGAATACCATGTTCGGGCAGACATACTACCGGATGAATTCGGGCTGGAATTCTAGCCTGCGCGAGTTCCTAGGTATGATGATAATATATCTATACAGATATTCAAATTACAGAAGCATATATATACTGTATCATGGTTGTAGCAGCTATAACTATAATTATGGACTGTAGATCTATAGAATTTGGACAATGCACTGGTTGTCCAGTTCCTCTAGCACCAGCTCCCAGTTCCTTCCAGGTGGTCTTGGCCAATATGGTCGAGGACTTTATCGGCACCTTGAACCTCGACCGAGCGCCGGGCGCTTGGGCAGCACCGGTTGCCCCGCGGCGCGTCTCGCGGCCCACCGCGAATCGTGGAGGCTACGTTCGTAGTTTCTTGTTTACTAGTAGTAGTAGCAGCAGCAGCAGCAGCAGCAGTAGTAGCGGTTTTGGCCTCCAACCTAATAGCGATGGCCTCCAACCGTCCGTAGCTTCTTGCTTGCCGAGGTGGCCGATCTTTAAGACCGTGGCCTCCGGGGAGTGCAAGCCCAAGGTTGATTCCAACAAGGGATGGATGGGCATGATGCTTTTTCACCAAGGATTTGTTCACCAAGGTGAACATACCGGTTTTTCCACTTGGGGACGTCTTTTTGGTTTGTGTTTTGTTTGTCCTGAGTTTCATCACACTTGCAAGCCCCGCCCCTGTGATGAAAACTGTGTAACTCTCGTTGGACTCAACCGCAAAAGAGGAACCGAATGACTCTGACCGTCCAAATGTGTCGAAGTTTGGGTGATGTTTGTTTCATGACGTTTTGTGTAGGTGCCCACTTGGTGGTCTGGCAGTGGAGCACCAAGATGCATGTGTGTCATTGTTTGTCGGTGTGCTGCGCAAATCCTGGTGTGGGTGCACTGCAGATTGCCATTGCGATGCGGTGGCGATGCCTCTCCAACTTTTGGAAGGAGATGGAGAATTGATGGCATAATGTTCAATGCATTGATGGCATAGAATATCATGACATTCTCATGCATCAATGTTCTCAATCTCTGAGGCACACCCAAACGGGACTCGTAAACGAACGAGGGCCGTGGCTTCAATGAGCGACGTTAAATCAAACAGAAAGCGACACAGGTAAACACCCAAACGTCATCATCAAAGTCTACCCAAGTCAGTCAATATATCACACATTATCACACCAAAGGCCTTAGCGAGGTCGTAAGCAACCAAGGCCTCACAGTCCAAGTGATTTGGCAACATGTTGTTGATAAAACGCATGGCCACATTGCATTCCAAAAGTGGCAATATGATGCTGTATCCATATTATTGGTGAACAGGGATACGAGGTGAACAGGATGGTTGAAAAGCAACTGGTCTTGCACGACAAGCCTTGCAGGGAACCCACTGACGGGCGGGCCTACGGACAAACGCATTGATCACCCTGCACCCTGCATGCACAGTGTGACAAATGCAGAGATCTCACAAGCTACTAAGTACTGGACCCACACAAACACGCGTGACAACATATCAACCACATGCAAACATAACATATATACATATTAAACGAAAGAATGGAAGGTTTGGGGCAAAGGTAGCACGAGACCACTGATCTGTCACTTTGGACCAAGCTCTTTTTCGGAATGAGTTTCATCCGCAAAATTCACCAATACTGACATTCTATAGGGAAGTGAGGGCCATGGCAAATTGACCAGTTGTTATCGTTGTTTTCTTCCTTATCGTTTTACAGCACGTTGACTAACTGCAACACATGTAGTATATTGTGGTGTGTGCACTACATGCATGTGGTGTGTGGAACCTTGCAGGCATGAAGACATTAGGCAGAAACATGCTTGAAGGGGAAGCAGTCCAACTAACTATGCCAACTACTCGTAGCCAAGATAGTTGCAACACATGATCAGTCAATTGGACTGCCTTCGTCATCGCATCCTCGGTCGATGTTGTCTTTCAAACAACTAAAGTTTTCAGAATCGACTAGTTTTGGAAATGCCTTCTGCATCGCATCAATGTGGCCTTTGCCGCTCCCATGGTCTCGCAGGAGAATCCTCTTTTCCCGCACACGGAGGAATTCTTTCATGCCATGGGTCGAAGCCTTGATGCCGTGATGTTTGTGGTCCGCAGCAACACGCCCTTCGCTTCGCAGCCGAACTACGCTGCGGTGAACTGCACGGTTGATGTGTGTGACAGATCGACAACTCCCACTGATCCTTCGCAAGCCCAAGAAGTTTGAAAAGCCGGAGTCCAAGAAGTCGAGAAGATGGTCTCACTCTAAAGACTCTATGAGGCAAAAGGGAACAAACATACAGACTCTATGATGCAAAAAGATAATACAGTAATATACCGTATCGTATCTCTTTTTTGATTTCTTTTCTATTGTTTCTCACTCTCAGAATGATGATGCATTGAAACCTCCTTCGTGGCCGTGGGGGTTGGGGATCAGACATGCCATGACACGGCCACAACGACCATTGACGTCCACATCGTCGGTATCCGGTACGGTCCAAATTCGAACAGCTGATTCGAGGTCGGTCTTTGTTGCCCCGCTGGGATGTGAGCCGCTTCCTCAGAGACACAGAGACAGAGACCGACCGACAGAGAGACAGACAGATACTGTAGATAGATATGATAGATTAGAGAGAAAGAAAGAAAGAAAGACAGATAGATAGATAGATAGATAGAGACACGGCACCCAGCATGATGGATGGAACGGGGCCAAGAGCATCAGGAACTTGCTGCTTCGCTACATCCAGGACCCCATGGAGTGGTCCAAGAGCTCTTGTGCATTTCAGTGTTTATAGTTGTCTCTTTTTGGGGTGGATGGGTGCTGAATAGGTTGCTTTGCAAATCGACTTCAAGAAAGGACATGAATCCTGATTTGATTAATTTTAGGTCCTGAAGAAATTGTTATTGTTATTCTATACTGTATTCTACCATACATTCAATATGTTTCTATTCACGCAAGTGACATGCTCAGTCATGTTTTGCAACAGCTGCGCAGGCTGGCTTGCGGCGCTTTGATCTTCAAGCTATGCTAGACTCAAGATGGCCCATTTTTGAGCTGTCTGGACACCAAGCATTTTCAGGAAACTTGATTCTGTGGATGTGCGCTTTGGACACCTGCAGGTTGAGTTCAATGCATTCATGGAGCGAAAAGTGGCTGCACACCCAGTTTCGCACGAGACAGACTGATCTTGACCCCCTTGAAATGCTTCGCAGTATTTGAGGCCTCGTGGATATCCCTGAACCACTTCTCTCAGATCATCCTGGATCTCGCCACCCGCGCTCGCCCGCATCGCTCACCGAAAAGGACACGCAGCTCCGGCGTCGTGGAGGCTCCGGCGGAGGAGGGCGCTGAAGAGGACGTCGGAGCCTCTCCGGTCGGAGGTGAATGGAGGTGACATGGTGACGCCGAGATCGTCCGCTGAAAAGAGAGAGAGAGAGAGAGAGCAGAGAGCAGCTGTTGTAAGAAGAGGAGGATTGTTTTTACTGTGATATGATAGCTTGTTGCAGATGTTGTCATGGGTCGCTGATTGGTGTCATGGAATGTGTGCAGAACGTGCAGCGAACATGTTCATCGAATCAGCGCAAATGAAGCCGAAGGTTCTCAAGCACATTTGAGGTCTTATTGTTAGGTCACCACCGACATCGTTGCGATGCCGTTTCCGTTCTTCGCGTTTCTTGCCCTGTGGGTCTGCGGACATGCAGATCGTCCTGGGGAACATTCCTTGATGGTGGAGCTTGCCAAGAGAGCCCACGGCAATCACTGTCAGGATCACATCTTGGAGAGCATTGAAGCAAAGATGGGTGCCAATCGCAAGGAGTGGATTGAGGGCCAGAGCATTGGATTTGAGGCTGCGTTGCGTCCTCTATTTGCTGTCCTTCCACATACACCCACAGGAGGTTTGACAGCCAATGCAGCGAGGTATGCCTTACATCGTGTCTTTGTCGATGCCAGAGGTTGGAATGTGAACGGCCTCGAGGAATCCAAGTTGTACGCGTTAAGCCTCGCCCAGAACGGCCCGGCTGAGCTTCCACCTTTGCACCGTCCCTTGTCCGCCCGTTTTGGCATGTTTTGAGCGTTCAGAACAAGGTGTCCTCGCTTTTGTAGAGAACAAGGATTTGGTATCGATAACATGTTCGGAAAAAAATATTGGCCCAGGTATCCTTCAAGGTGAAGTTCCTCAAGAAGTGGAATCAGCCTTCGAGAAGTGCTCAGCTGATATGGGTGTTCAGGAGTTGGCATTGCTGGCAGCGACCCTCGATGAACTGGTACACCAAGAGGTGCTGCAACAAGTCAAGGCCGTGTTCAAGGCCAAAAAGCTGCCCATGTTCGGCCACATTGACGACCAACAGCTGCAGAAGGTTCTTGAGCAAGTTCACAGCTTAGACTGGACAGCTTGAACGGTTAAGCTGAGAACTGGAGTGCTACAGAATCTTAAGAAGCTTGTTTGTGATGTCGGAGAAAATTATCCGGTGAAACTCAGGTCCAACATGGTGGGAATATAGCGGCACTTATTGTCATATCATATTATGATATATTATGATTATATATGTATTATATAGCTGTGCTAAGGTCATGATTGGTTACATTTGCGATGCTGCGGGAATTGTTAGCCCTGAACGGGAGAAGTACATTGATGGAAAGCTCGACATCAAGGAGAAGTATCCTTCATGGCTCAACCTGCAGAACTTCCTTCATAGCATTCAAGAAGTGGTGCTTCCAACACAGGCAACCCGTGTTGACTTCGAGGACTTGACCAATGTCATCAAGGAGTTGAATGAACACTACGGTCGGTGGCAAAATGGAGAGTGTCAAGTGCTATCACAGGAGCTTCGCCAACTCGAGTCCGAATGCCCAGGACACGTGCCGCTGCGGGACTTCTACTCCAGTCACTTCAGTCGAGGCAACTGGCAATTTACCGAGAGCGTGGCATACTTGCGTTCACTCGGTGCGTTGGAAGAAAGCCAACGCGAAAAGCCCAAACTGATTTCAACCAATTATGTCCTTGGGGCCAACAATTGCGTGGCAACATCAAAGTATTATTCGCAATGCTGCCTGAACCAATGTGACGGGCACCTACGGAAGTTGGAAAAGGCTGTGGCCAAGTCAGAAGTTGCCCCAGATGATCTGCAGGCGGCTGTGAAGGCTGTCTTGCCAGAGCCAGACATGCCAGCACTTGTTTCGAAGAAGCTGGTGGAGATCTCACAGAAGCCAGGGCAGGCCGGTCGGGTTGCACTTCATGGTCTACCCTTTGCAGAATGGCTGCACCATGCTTATCCTCGAGAGTGCCCTGCTCCCAAAATCCACAATCTACCAGAAGAGCTTCCAGGGCATTTTGAAACTCGCAATGGCAAGTCCCCTGCTTTCTCTGATGAAGACATGGAGGCCTATCTGAAGAAACTGCCGGAAGTTGATCGTGATCAAGAATGCCATATCGCTTGGACTGAAGAGCCTGTCGAGACTTGGACTATGGAGTCTCCAGTGGAGTCTCGCAGGTTGCTTGAAGTGACAGCCCCATTTTCTTCCCTTTGGGTGTGTGCTTGCGTTGGCATGCTCCTTGGTGGCTTGGTCGCTTCCCGGTTCACGTCCAAGAACCCACAAGCTTCCAATGAGAGTCAAGAAACCATGACAGCCTGAGAGGTTGACCATCATTATTTGCGACTCAGCCCATTTTGAAGAAAAGACCGGTCCTGCTTGACCCTTTGACATACTGCAGAATTGAGTTGTGGTTGCTGTGGTACAAACTCTACTGGCAAACATTGGCTGCTCGTGGCTCAGGCAGTAGTTTCCTCCCTTTATGTGTCCTGTATTTTTGTCTATACACCGCATGTCTTTGTCCAGCCCGTACACGCAGCAGCCGAGTTAGCAACACGTCGTGTTTGACCATAGACCATGGAAATCAAGTACAACAGGCAAGCCTACCTCAGGGGTGCATTTGGGCTATCACGCCTACAAATTCCCTGCTCCGGCGCAGCACCTTTCTCTTTCGGCTGTCCTTGGGTGCTCATCCAGGCCCATTGGTGCACATTGAATAGGGCAAAGACATTTTTGCTCTTGAAGATGGAGTTCAATGGGTTGGACTGTTCCTTTTGTTTCTCAAACCCTTGCATTCTTTCATATTTACAAAGCCACCACTTCAGAACTTCAACTTGTCCGTGGTGCAAGATATTTTTGGTGAGCTTGCCATTCTTTGCTCTTCTTTATGGGACTGCTCGAGCTGGATTTTATTGTTTGTTTCAGAATCCTTCCGGCAAGCTAGTTTGGAGGATCCCTGATGTTCAATCCGCATCGGGCTTCACATGCCTTGTCCGATCGGCAGGAATGCCGAGCCATAGCGAGAGGACGGAGCTTATGGCCCTTGCGAGTTTGGCCACGTGCCAACAGATCCCTCAACAAATCTGCCAGTGTTGCTTTCTAGATTCTAGCCCAAGCAAGTGTATAGGCCATAGAATTTTATAGATCTGTATGGGGCTTCATGTATACATTTGACTTAGCTATGAATTGACCCCCCAACGTGCTAGATCATGCTATTAAAATCTGAACGGCACAGGAGATTGATATCACTCTCGAGGCTTTCATCATCGGCTCGTGTGTTTTCGTGTGTTTGGCTTGTTCGCAGCACTGCCCGTGAGCAGCTTCAAGTTCATCCATTTCACTGACATCAAGCCAACAGTTGCACGCAGGGAGTCCAGCACGGTTGTGGACCCTCATTCGATTAACGAAGTGCAGAGCGGCTCTCCAAATCGTGCTGTGCTCAAGTTAAGCTTCAGCAGCATTTGGGCCAAACTTGGGTTACACCAAGAGTCATGAAATGTTTAGATGTCCCTATGCACATTGCAGGCATCAGAACCACCAGGTTCACTTGGTTGACTTGGTTTTAAGCTGAGACGGCTAGCCAGAGACTGTCAAGATGATTTCACGTGTGAATGTTAGGACCGTCGGCACCACCTTTGCTTGACATTCTTGGCATCATGGTGTTGCTCCGAGGCTTCCGAAGTCTCTTTTCGCTCAATTTCATCGAGCAGCGCTGCCCTGAAAGAATAGAAATTCGGGATTCCATCCTGAACTAAGTTGGCTTAGAAGTGATTGAAAAGATTTGAAAAGTCTTTCCAGAGCATGAGCGATGGATGTGTTACACTGTTCCACTGTTCATCTCCTTTCCGAATGTGCTACTGTGGCCTCTCCCTCACTCCATGCAATTGCGCGAATGTTTGTGGCTAGTTTCCCATATTCTGCTGCGCGACTATTTACCCCCTACCAAACTACCGAGTGTTTTTTCTGCCGGGCAACACATACCATTACTAAAGAGGTTCCAATAGCCTCGTGAGTTGTGAGCAAAGAAACCGGTGATGTACCAAGGCAAACATCTACTTTCTCTTTGTTAGTATCATCGTATGTCTTCCAGATGGTCCTATGATGTGGCCAGCGCCTCAAAACACGGCGCACCGAACATCGGCACTGCAAAAAAAAGGCTTTGTGCCATCGCCATCTGAAACCATATATTGGGAACAAGAAGCTACTAGGGGCTCCTGGCCTTACTACTGGGAGCAAGGACGCTACTAGGAGTGGCACTGCACCAAATGGGCGACTCCTGGTGATCGACCAAAGTCACCAACCTTTGCCTTTTCAGAAAAGGCGTCGTTTTCACCGTCGTTTGAAACGCGTCGTTGTCCGTGCTCCGTTGTCTGTTCACGTCTCGTCAGGTCCAGCACCGTGGTGCCTTTCATTGGAGTTCTCCTGTGGACCGCCTTCAAGGAGCGATCCCGGTCCACCCGTCCGGTCCCGACGGCGCAAAAGACGCAGCGATGTCGGGCATCGTGTCCAGGACCTTTATGAGGACCGACGGCGCAAGAAGGACGATGATGCGGAGAATCTGAGAATGTCAGCGTCATAGGTGGTTTCATGTGGTTTCTGAATGATTTCAGGTGTTTTTTTTCTACATGATTTGTCAGAAAATGAAAAAGATGACTCGTCTTGCACTGGATTTCCCTGTGCCTGTTGATGGTTCACCCGCATTGCAGTACTTTTTAGGCTGGACTTCGAACAAGCTTTCGAAGCGTCAGATGTTTTCGTGCTTTGCTTTCGAGGTGTTGGCGCTACGACACTAAGGGCAAACGATTTGAACAGGCAGGAGAAAATTGGTTGCACAGTTGAAACAGATTGCTTGCACCGATGCAGAGAAGAACTCTTTGCGGCAGGTTAGATGGATGGATGTGCGCGTGGGAGATATTCTGCTCAACTTCGCAGATGAGGTCCGCACGTCCAATCACTCAAGTCAGACGACGGAGTTGGTTCTCAGTGGGATTGCCATGTTTATTGTTTTAATACAAAGCCTTTCATCCAAGACTGTGATTTGAGAGTTTTCATTGGCAACAATTCCGGACTGAATCTTGATACCTACGGTGACCATGTGTCAAACGCTGGAGAACCGTACAGGACATCCGACATGTGAATTACACCCTAAAACATCCCTAAACAACTAATGTTAGAAGAGCAACTCATGTCATGCGCTATGTTTCGCAATATATTGTTCCATACATTGTTCCTGGTAGGTCCCGGGTCCATAAGATTCCATGGGGCTATGACATGTTTGGTTCCTATTGACGGACCCCCCCCAAGTGAACATGGACCGAGTGATATCCTTTCTCGTTTGAGACCTGGACCCGATGTAGGCCTTTGCTGCCGATGTACTTTTGGTGCGGGCGGCTGGTGGGCAGGCAGGTGGGCAGGAGAAGATCCGTTTGAAGAGATCAGATCATGTCTTTACATTCTTCAAGAGATGAAATAGGATGACTGGAGGAAAGATAGAAAGATTGAACGATCCAGTGTTTGACATAACATGTTTGGAGTCCAAGACTCTAATTGCAGGCGTTTATTTCCACGGTCAATTTGGACGGTGAGACGAACCTGAAGGTCCGGACGGAGTATTTGCGTACGGCGTCCCTGGACCCCACAAGGTTGTTCAAGTTGTCATGCTTATTTGCAGTTGCTTAGAATAGCTATAGGAATGACAGAGGGCATGCTTAGCACTCAGCACGACACAGGTGATGCTAAGTGTTCCCTCTATTTTGTTGTTTTCTCAAATCCAATGTGTTTGGCACAGGAGCGTAACGCTGCCAATCTCTTGTCCGCGCTCACAGACATGCCAGAGGAGACTTACCTCGCTTGAGTGTTGGTCCAGAAGAGCATAGGAGCAACGCCAGTGTTTTGCAAATCTGGAGATATACCAGACTCTTGGATACGATGCATTATGCATGGTGTCCTAACATAAGTATATACAAGTAGTCAAAGTAGAACAGGGCTTAAACGGAGCCCCTTTTGTTGATGTCTCCCGAGTGCAGGCAGGTGCGGATGTGCCTCGTGGTAAGCTCAGATACAGTGACATTGCCAACACTCAAGTATGCTTCGAGTATTCCTAGACACACATGAACTGGAAAGGGGTGTTGGTTGGACTGACAGTCATACAAACTCAGGAGGAGAGAATGCGCATCAGAATGTGTTGGACACTGCCTGGCACTTGTCAAGACATGGCTATACATGGCTTATCAGTTGCCCTTGTGTTTTTGCAGTACTGAAACAGCTCTGGTGGATAATGCCCGCCCGGGGAAATTGGTTCAAGCCAAGACGTGCTGGGTTTTGGCAATTCGTGCCAGCAAATTTAGAGTAGTTTTGGATTAGAAGTTGCCTCACAAAGGACCACTGACTGCGTGCGCTATCATGCGCTTGCCCTTTGCTCCATTTGCGGGGTCTCCAACAAATCTCCAAAAGTCATAGAATAGAGGACGCTACTAGGAGCAAAGGGCATCGTACTAGGAGCGATCGGAGCTACTAGGGGCTCCTGGCCTTACTACTAGGAGCAAGGACGCTACTTGGAGCTTTTTCTCCCTGTAGCTCCAAACAAATCTCAGCAAGCTCTCGTTTAACTTCAGTGCCGCGGTGCTTGCAGGATGCATCCTTACTCCCTACACATGCATGAGCGGCAGCTGCCTTGGACATGTCGATGTGAAACAATAACAAAAGCGGCCAATGGATAGAATCACCTCTTAGTTACTGCAGTGAGAAGTGCATACTTTCGAAAACTGTTACTAAGTGCATGTTGTTCCGTAGCCGCTGCAAGCTTTGAAATCAATCTGCATGAATTAATGTTTACAAGGCCGCTCACCCTCGTCAAATTCAACTACGATGGCTCTTGCCTTTGAGGGATCTTCCATCAAGACACTGAACTGACGTGTGTGTCTAATACCAAACAAACAAAGGAAACAAAACGTTAAAGATTCCTTGCCCTGAGGTGACTTTTTCATCACCTGCGCCAAGGACGGTGAAGTGAACCTTGTCAGGACTGAAACCTGTGAACGCGTCGGAACGCGGCTTGGAAGCACGTCAGAAACAGAGTTGAAGGAAGCTTCTGGAACACATTGACGGGTGATCATGTCATGGTTGGTCGTTTTTGGAGGTTGTGATGATGCGTCCGAACTCGTCCGAAAAGAGTTCTACTGCATCTCACAAAACTTCATCCACTAGCAATTACCCCAAAGATCCCCAAAGGCATAATTTGTTGTGAAGGTTTCAACCGGGCTCAAATTGACCATGCAAACATCCAGGGTGGCTGGTTTGTTCAGCAACAATGTTGCGCTCTTCACCAATATCTTGGTGCAGCGAGCTCTACCACCCTGCTCGCTGCTAAACTTCCACAATGTTTCACACCTCTCTACGTTAACGTCAAGGCGAGTGGAAACAGGGGTTGACCCAGGAGTGGAACTGGGAACAAATTTGTACCCAAAAATGTTTAGGAAACAGGAACTGATACCAAATAAACCAAGACACATTATTTTCCAGTCACTTCCTGTCCGTGCAATGAGGTACGGCGACAAAGGTGGTGCTGTTTATGCGGTAGACGTGACGATGGATAGCACGTATGTGGTCACAGCCAATGCAGATGGAAGCTTGCCTGCCGGACGACCGATAGAAATGGATCAAAGATGAACCCGCTCTCTTTAGTATTGGTGCCCCAATCAGCGTAGTGCGAACGTTCAAACTGTTCGAAGCTTTGGGCGCGATGCGGTGGACCTGCGGAACGTTGCAGCCTCAAGCTGAGGCAAAGTCGTGTTCTACAACTTTGCAGCCAAAAGCTCAGCAGATCCATTTGGACCTCTGACTGGACATGGTGAGGTCCACACGCACGATGGTTGCGTTCCATGTTCCCCCCCAGAGCCGCGGCCAAGGGTGAGATGGTTCAGACCATCCAGCACGGTGGAGTTCTGAAGTACGTGGAGTGGAATCTGCTTTTAAGCCGCATGGGGCACTGCATGGGTTCGAAGTCAATTCTTTTGCTTCGCAGCTTCGCTTCAACTCGTATGGTCGAAGAGTGCAGTGCCAAGGAAGCCAGGTGAGCAGAACTACATTTGCACATGCAATGAGACTTGGAGCATTGAAACAAGCATAGCTTGGTACAGTGTTTTTTGCATTCTCGTAAGCTGGGGGGGCAAGATTTGGGGAGAAAATTGCCATGTGTACTGCGACAGTTGCTGAGGACAAATTCAAGAGCCAGTCGGAGGGCCTTGTGCCCAATAGGATCATGATTTGGCAGTTTGACCCCGTGAAGAGGATCCTGTCAATTGATGAACAGCTGCCCATGAAGGCAACAAAAGTCACTGGGCATGCATCAGAACCTGTCTTCGAACATGTTTGAACTTTAAACCAAGTTTGGTGGTTCTTGCATAGACGCACAGCTTTCTTTTGCTGCTGTTGAAGGTGAAATGGGGCGCTTTTGATGAGACCCTTGCTACTTCGCAGCAAAAGGGAACCTGTGCTTTGCGCGAAAAGGGCATGTGGATGTGGGTCAAAACTAAACCAAGACCCAGTTACCAGTGGGCTGGGATATGGTCTTTGAACCATGGCTGCATGATATCGTATGATTGTATCTCAGGTCTCCATTTTTGAGGAGGGCACTGTGATTATTTGGGATGCTGAAGATGGCCGACAACTGAAGCTTATACAGGCGCATCAGATGGCCATCACCAGAAGCTTGGAGCTGTTTTCAGAAAGGTTGGCTCCTTCCAGAGTCACTGGAGGGCTATAGTCTCGATACTCTATGCGATGTACTGGACAACCCCCACCACGGTCCCTTTAGGAAAGGGGGACACATCCCCCATGACCATCCCCCAAGGGCGGCTCCTCCTACATACTATATCTTATATACATAGCTTATATTATATACTTCTTTGCAAACGTTTTTTTCTTTTCCTTGTTCATGTTGGGTGAAAGTCTGCACGTCGGTTCTTTTCGACTCCCCCGAAGAGCTGGAGTGGTTTTGATTTCAGAGCTGGAGAGGCCTCTGCAGGGTTTGTGTCTTGGAGTTGATGAGCACAAATAGCCAAAAACTTGTATGTACCAGGTTGAGTTCTTTTGTGGGGTAGGAGTTTTTCAGATGTAATTACTGTATATAAATCGGTTCATAGATGACGGCTTGCAAGGTTGAGGATCTCTGATTTGGAGATAAAACTCTGACCAGTTGCAGGCTGACAATGTAATAATGAGCTGGTGGTACTTTCCTACTCAGTCAAGGCAACTGCCAACATGGAACATGTACAGCAAATAACCATGTCTTTCTAAACATGTAGGTATGGGCTACTGTGTCTGATATGTTTCAACGAATTCCGACCATTCACCTTTGAAAGTTGACAATGTGGTGATGGATGTTTGTCTGTTTCCGAGTGCCTTTCTTTTGCCACGAATGCGCCGCTGCTGACTGCGCCCAAGGCATGAACTTCACAGAGGACCGCATGATGATGGCCACCTGCTCCAAGGCAGGTGCTCCGCAGAACTCCGCAGAGCTCCGCCGAGCCACAGACGTGGGCGTGGCGTGCAGCGACGGGGGCGAGAGTTCGGGGGTCTCCCTATAAAGAACATACACCGGATGTTTTGGTATGGGGTGGAAGAAAGTGGGTCGACCAGCTTGGCAGGATGGAATCGCCAAGCTTTGGACGATGGACGACTATGAGTGTATCAAGGAGTCGCCCTGCTGCCATTCGTTTGGACTGAAAAATACTCCGTGGAGTGTGCGGTTGATAAAAAGAGCAGTCAAGAAAATATGAGGACACATTATATTCCTGGACAAGTCTCAGGTACAAAACAGACAGACCCTTGAATGACGTTGCCATCTCACCCCTCTACTGCTCGGAGAAGGTGCGGTTTCTGCTGTTTTGTGTGAACAGTTGGATGTTTTAAGATCACTTTCCATTTGGTTCAGAACCAGAAGCTGCACTTGCTGATGGGTGGCGGTCAAGATGCCAAGGTTGGGAACATGCCTCACAACATTCACAAACAAACGAGGCATTTCCACGCACAAAAAGGAACGCACCAAAAAGTGAAACGACCACTTCTGCCGTGCAATCGTTTTGCGCAAAACCTTCGTTGGAACTTCTGCATGGGATCTGCCCGGTCACCTTCCCGTGGCAGGACGTGGCCGTTTCGGGCGCCAGTGGTGCCTTTGAGGTGCGGCTTGGTCCGTTCGATCATTAGCCGGCTGTTCAACGTCCGTGGCGCACGTTTCAGGCCTTGTTGTGGCACATGGTCTTCGAAGAGGAGATAGGTTCTGTCAAGGGGCACATTGGCCCTTTGAAGCTTGTCAGTTCAGATGCAAAGGGCAAGACTCTTCGACAGAGTCGTGTTCAATTACTGCGTACGAGCATGCAACAGTCGCAAGATGTCTCAAGACTCAAGACTGTGATTTCAAACATGCTTAAACCCTTAATTAAGGTTCCGTTGAAATTCATACAGGATGTCCAAAAGCGAGTCACATCTTCTTATGTGCAACGTCCTCTAATGTTGATGAGCTCTGGGAAACCATGCAAACCGATGCCTACTGTGTCCCTATGCAAAAGGAAAAGGCTGCAAAACGGGACGTTCTCTCCGTTGAATGAACAAGTCAGGGTTTGCTCACCAGCTTGGTTTCGTTGTTGGCTTCTTCATGATCCATCTTCCACAGACGCGCAAGGAACACGTTGGCGTGGTTTCGAGATGGAGCGGGATTTGTCACTGGCGGAGAGGATGGTTATGTCAGAGTGCACTTTCTGGACAAGGACTACTTCACAGCAAAACGCTTTGAATGAGCGACAGACCCTCGTCCTGTCTCACTCACCCGGATTCAGCGACCTGTAAGCCTGGCACGTTTGGATTTCACCAGCGCTCGCGGCGAAAGAAGCACGGATGCCTCTCCCCATGCAAGCATGGCACAATACACATATATCACAAGGATTCACAAGGCGGCACTTGTTTTGAAATATCCCGCTATGTTACCAAAGGAACCTGTAATTGGTATTTTTTTTTCTGTGGCTGAGGCTGTCATGACAGCGCAGCACTTGCAAGCTGAAGGCTTGCAGGCACGAGCCAATAAGCAAAACGGTGGAAGAAAGCGAAATTAAGTCGTGTGACCGACGCCAGGTGGAGCTGCAGGCTCCAAAGCCCGTCTTGACCGATATGGAAGGGCGTGGCTCTTAGACCACTCCAAGCCAACAGGCGTGCTCCAGGGTCGCACCCAAAAAAGAAACATGTTCCTTTTTCAGTGACGGATGGGCCGGATGTGCTCTGAAAAAGACATAGACGTCCCCAAGGTCAGTGAAGCTTGCATCAGCCTCTCCCAAGACCGAAGCCAAACTGACCGAGTTGCAGGCAAACCATCCGAACGGGAGGGTTGGCCCGATGGGGTGGATGGCGGAGCAAGTGTGTTGGACTGTTTTTGAGATGCTGCGATGAGCTGGAAGGTGAGTAGTCCTTGCAAGCTGAGCTATGAGCTCTTCGTTCCGCGAGGGTGTGTCCTGAGAAACACTCTGTGCGGCTCTTACTCAAGACTCGAAGATGTGCTGTTTGCCAACGATCTCGCAGCGCCTAGGTATGTGATCTCAATCGCCGCATTTTGTGGCCCGCAGACGAAAACACGGTCAGTGCCCAAGAGACCAAGTAGATCGAAGCTGAGACTGAAGATCCATGCATTTTGTGAGGCTGAATGCTGCTGAGGCAGTGGGCAAGGCGGCTTTAAGGGGTGATTGTTCATATTAACAGCAGTCCTTTTCTATATTGTCGATTAAAGTCCAAGTGTACCAGTCTATGAGCGTGAACCGCCATCTCAAAACTTGAGGTCTCCAATATGCAGGTGTACCTCAATCGTGGAGTACAGGCGGAGTGGGCCATTGTGTTCTGTGCCTCCGAACTCCGTTCGTGGGTCTGCGGACGCACCGAGGGAAAACCTTTTGCCTCAGGGATTGGTGATTGCGCTGATTCTATGGTGCATCTACTGTGCGACATCTGCAGAGATACAGGCTGGGAAGGGGAGAAGGGGACCACCGAACATTCGCTCCGAACAGTCCGGGAAACATGAAGTGATGCTGTCGTGACATGTCAGACATGCACTCATCTCGCCGCCTTGTGCAGGGTGTGAGCGTGGCAGACGGGAGAAATTGGTTCTTGCGCTTCCTTTTCTACTGGACAGCAGTTGTAAGAGCAGCTGGTGCAGACAGAGACGCCTCATTTACAATCACAGCCAGACTTTGCAGCGTGGTGTTTAACGCCATTTGCAGGATTATTCTCTACCAGATCATCCCAATCAGCCTCTATGTTTTCTTCGAGATTGCCGGAGTTCATAGCAAAATGTCAAAATGTGTTCTAAAGGCTACGCAGATTTGATTTGAGGTGCAAAAACAAAAAACATGGATACCATTCCGGGCCATGAATTCTGTCGTGAGGTGAAGCTGGTCTTGGGGTTCCAGATCAATAGAGATCCACAGATGGTGGATCCAAGGAAGAAGATCGATTGTGCTGACATTTGATGCAGACTGGTCATTCTTCAGACCAAAACGACTGACATGGAGCTGCAGGAGCAAACTCGGGGCCACTGCCAGAACGGCTGATTTGGTTGAAGAGATGGGACAAGCTGAGATCCGAGAGAGACAGCGAGAGAGGATGCAACGCTCCGTTCAGCTGGTCCTTTTTGTTGTGAAAAGACCACACCAGCAGACCAAGGTCAATTTTGTCTTCTCTGATAAGACAGGCACCCTAACAGAGAACGAAATGGTTTTCGCCCATTGCTGTGCCAGTGGCTGAGAGTCACTGGTGTGTGCCATTCTGTTTAAATGGGCCCTCTAAATGAACACATGCAGTGCTTTTGGTGCTTCCTGCCAAGCTGACCTTGAAGGTGTTTCTAAATATTAAATGTGTCTTCATCCTGTTTTTGCAGCATATGTCCATTGGATTTCTTTTGAGGTTTGCCACGATGCAGATGCAAGAGATCTTGGAGACTTCAGACAGACGGCGAAGTTGGTAGAGAAGGCGGAGGCCATTTCAAGAGAGCTGAGCTAAAGAACAACTTGCAACACTTGTTCAGACGAAACTGAAGTTGGCACATTGCTTCAGGAGCCGCCTGGTGTTGCAGAAGGGAAGCTCATCTTGTCGAGCACCCAAGACCCGCGCCATGCAGAGGCGGGACGCACCAAGATGTTAAGGTTCTTGAAAGAAATGAAAGCATCTCGGAGTCTCGCAGTCCGATAGTCACAGAGAGTCTAGGCGAATCAGGCCTCCCTCTCTTCCGCTCTCTTCGGTCTAGCAAGTGTGGCAGGTTTTGTGGTTCTTTGTGAATCTTGCGACCAACCACTCAGTTCAGGTCGGAGTCTGCACAGTCTGTTTTCTTGATGTGAAGACCCACGCAGTTGAGCCGCCCAGGTTGAGGGGGAAGGTACCAACAAGAAGTTCGAAGGTAGCTCTGCGGATGAGGCAAAACACACGCGAAGTGGGCTTTGTTGTGATGCATACAAAGTCTGTAATTGCTATTTCAGTACTGTAGCAGTTCCATGTTGATCCCAGATCATTCACACCGCTCTCCAGGTTGCCTTTGTGGAGGCAGCAAAGGATGTAGGCCTGCCTGGCTGAGGAAAACGCCCTGAAATGGATGGTTTTGATAGGGGTATGGTTTGACGATGATTGCAAAGCATGTTTTTCGGTCCCTTTTCTTGGCAGTTCTTGGGAGAGGCGTGACCTTTGTGTCTCGAACTCGTATTCCTGGAACCAGCTCTACGGTCTTGGCCTTAGAAATTGAACCGTCCTGTGTGGCCAGTAGATGCCAGTAGTACACAACAAGGTAAGGAAGGGGGGGAGAGCAATGATGGTGAATGAGTGTCACAGTGTAACCAAAACTGACTGTAATCTACATCATGTTATGCAATAGACAACACACACACAAAAAAAAACATATTTATATTTATATGATATATGTACAATATGTGTATATATATATAACTATATATTTATATTTACGTATTTATCTTAAGTATTCGTCAGCATGAGAGTCACAGATCTATGGAACTAAGGAGGTGGTCCTCAAGGGACCAGGCTCCAAAGATTTCACGTTCACGATTCTTTGCCAAGAGCTGAGGAAGCTCGGAAGCTTGTTGAGAAAGATTTATGGGAATTGTGAGAAGAACTGAGAGGAGTTGTTCAGAAGCTGAAAGCATGAGGTGAGATCCCATTCTCCTCGGATCGCAAGCGCATGAGTGTCATCGTGAAGCACGAAGGCTCTGTCCGAGAGCACAGGGACCCTGCAGGGATGGCAAGGACTTGGACGGTGTTTGAGGGATGTGTTTAGCAACGAACGGAAGGAAGCGCAGCAGCTGCATGAGCTCGACGAACGGGGCCCTTTGACCTTTCGTTGACCTAGATATCTAGGTCGAAGGAATCGGACATATGACTTGTATGCAAGCTGATCAAACAAATATAACCAAACAAGTCGGGCACTTTCGGTCACAACCTGGCCTTTCGTTGCTTTCCTGAGCTTCAGATTTGGTGCTGGGTTGGTGTGTCATCGGCACTGTAATTACGGCAACATGTTCAAGAGCACAAACACTGATTGTCAAAGCAACAATCTCTCCAGGCGAATACTGGTGCTTGTGCAAGGGAGCTGACAACATCATGGGGCTCTCACCTCAGTGATGTGTGTAATTGTTGCCTTTTGAATGCCCTTAATTCCTGGCGTGCACCTTTGTCGTGCTGCATTCGTTCAACGTGATTCGTCACGGTGCATTCCAGATGATTCCAGGCCCCTTTGTGATCGACCACTAGGAGGCGGCAAAAACACTAAAACGCCTTTCGAAAAACCTGAATGCGTCGAAAAAACCTGAGGTTCACTCGGGGCAAGTCTGACGCAGTACTCCAAGCTGGGCCTGCGAACTCTGGTGGTGCGCCAATCAGCGAAGAGTTCGCTGGTTCGTTGAGCTGATGGTTTGCAATTAGTAACTTAAGTGCAGAAACTTTACTACTATAGTAGCAAGAAGCTACTAGCGATGCCCTTGCTACTACTAGCGCTTGTTGTTGGCAGATCGCTTCGAAGAAGATGGATGACCAAGAGTTCGTGGAAGACTGGCTGGTCAGATGGAAAGAAGCTACAGTGTCAGAGGTGGGGAGAGTTGGAGCATGCGGCGCTCTTAGTTACTTAGTTCCAGCGAGGCTACTATATAGTGCGGGCTTCATGCATCTTTATGCCATCTCTACCTGCTTTATAGTCAGTCTATCAGCAAAAAGCTTTCTGAAGCCTTACCCCAAGCTTCCTCTAGTTTCAGCTGTTGGCTTTTGGGAGACAGGATGGACCGGACAGGGACTGTCGGCTCCAGGACCGAGAGGCAGAGATGGCGCGAGTCGCCTCAGAAGTGGAACACTCCTTGAAGGCTGCAGGTGTGACAGCCATTGAGGCCCGCGTGGAGATATCAAGAATAATCAGGGCGTGTCCACCCCACGAGCACATGTTGGTTTTCAGAAGAAAGCAATATGTGCTTTGTTTGGGGAGTGCCCATGCATGGCACCAGGACAAGCTGCAAGATGGCGTGCCTGAGGCAATTACTTCCATCAAGGACTGGAATTCTGTACTTCTGTCCTGAATCACTAGTCACTAGCAATTCACTTGTCGCTTCAGATATGATCAGATCCAGATCATAAAAAGCAAGAGAGCCTCCATGATCCTCTCCGTTCCACCACAAACACTTTTGTTACCGTCGTTCCTGCTCTTCAGGCAGCTGGAATCCGCTTTTGGGTTCTTACAGGCGACAAGACCGAAACAGCAGTGCCTCGACCGCCTAGTCTGCCTCGGACCCGATCGACGGCCTCGGCTCCCTCGTGCCTCGGTACCGGTTGCGAGTCGGTCGGGCCCCAGGTCGAAATCGCAAAAGCATGCAAGCTTTTCTCTGATAGTATGACCTTGGCATACTTGGTGCCACACTGAGAGAAGTGAAAGAGTATTGGAAGAGTCAGAGCATTGAAAGAAAGAGAATTGAAAGAGTCCGCAAATATCAGGAGCTTCATGTTGCAGAGAGTTCAGTTTCTTTCCAAACTATATATTCTGAAGGAGTTTTAGTCGTTTATGTCATTCTTGATAGTTGGATCCCAATCAATCGACCTGGACATTACAGTAGAAGCTCCAGAGATTCATGGCATCCCCAACTCTTTGGGAGGTGAATTGCAGCAACGAAAGTCAAGCGTTGCAGCTCATAGAGGACTTGCGGCCATGCATGGTCTTACCCTGTTGTACTATGTTGTACTTCATAAATATCCAATGCATGCCTGAATTTTGGAACTTGATGGAACTTGGTGTGTTTGCGTACTTTGCTTGCACCATCAATAAAAGCAAGGTTGAAGAATGAAACAGTTCACAGAATCTGAATGATCATTGTAAGACGACATGTTTCGACCTTGCCACAGTGGGCGAGGATGCCAAGACAACCTTGGATGGAAAGCCGGATGGAGGACTTGTGCTCGATGGCGGCTGACTCAGCTCTTCCATCACTTCACCATGCGCCACTGGTCGATAAGCCAGTCAGGCGTCTAAAAGTGACATGGAGAACGTGTGACTTCCATGCTGCCAGGCACCTTTGTCCAGCAGATCTTGACCTCAAAGGATGGTCGGCCAATGTTGCACGCCCAATGTTGAGTTGCATGTCATAAGATGTCCAACAATGTTCCACACACATGTATTTCTTGCGGCCTTTACAGTATTTCTTGCGACCTTTACAGTATTTCTTGCGGAGGTACGAGCTCGCCATGGCAAGTAAATCTTGTGCCAGATTCACAGAAGTGCGTTGTGATAAAGGGATGTGGAGGTTCACACAGTAGTTACAGTACAATTTTTATGATTTTTTATGGTCCTGGCAAGCTGCTATCCCAGCTTACGGACTTCTCCCTGACGGTCAAACAAACGTTCGCTCCAGCTGGTGAAGGAGCAGACTTTGTTCAAGCGTGTTTTGACTCGACTCGACAGACGTGGACTTGGATATGATTTGCCTTCTAGTTGTAGTTCAAGTTGCACACTGCAGTCCTCACCTAGGTTTGCTGCCGGCTATCTCCACAGCAGAAGCGTCGGCTGGTCAACATTGGCCTGTTTTCGCTTTTTGCGGGTGGAGGGTCGGGACTCTTCAATTGGAAGCCACACAATGACCCTACCCAGAACCTACAGCGTTTCTTGATGAAGTCCTATTTTGCCTTGTCTTTTGCCTTGTCTTTTGCCATGCGACGGTTTGACAAACGGTTGATTGAAACCATGAGTGAAGTTGTTGGTGAAGCTTATCTACTCGGTATGAACCAGCTTGCTTCACAGTTGTGGGTCAAACGGTTTACTCCGCATTGCAGCTTCGCGAAGCTTGGCATTGCAGCAGCTTCGCGCTGCTTTTTTGCCAGGTGGAGTTAGTGAAGGACATGAACAGGACGGGAATCGAACGGCATGGTGTTCACAGCTGACAAAGTCTATGGATGAAATACTCGTGCAGAAGCTGCTTTGACTATCTGGGTACTGGATGTGTATTAGACCAGGGAGACATCCAAGGGTCCCACTGGAAGATGAAACATAGACTGAAACCCATTGGTGACACCTAGGGGTGTCCCCACTGATAGCTCGGTCACGTTTGGCTCGAGTTGGCTCAGTCAGTGAAGTTTGCTTCTTAGACCAACTGTTTGGCAAGGCACAGTTGAAATGCACATAGACATAGATGGATTGATTTTGCTCCATGGGCCCCTCCCTTTTTTTCAACTGTTGAAGACTGAGGATGGACGGGTTTCATTGGGTTTCTCTAAAACAATTTATAAACCTACAAATGAGTCAAAAACAGGACAAGTGCCGAGCAAATACCCAAAGTCGTTCAGCTTTCAAGCACCTGATTCCCTGTTTGGAGATGAGGCGGGAGCCAGGAAGCTTGGGAAGCACACAGGCGGCGTACAGACCTTTGCAGCGTCCCCAGGCGGCACCAGGGCGCAGCGCGGAGCCCGGGCCGACGAGCCTCGGCACGGGACCCTCCAGAGCTGTGAAGCTGGGTTCGCACTGGATCCAGTGCTCACGCATTCAAAGTGAAATTCAAGCGGTGAAGAAGCGCATTGAACGTGAAATCAAGGAATCCCTGTCTTCGCATCTGTCATCAACAGATGAAAGAGACCAAAGCACAGCTGGAAAGCCCAAGTTGAGGCAAGACGTGGTGTTCCCCAAGTTTCATCCACCAGAAAGAAGTGGAAGATCACCTGTCAGCACTGTAAGCTCAAAGAGCTCCAACCCCTTCCGTGGTTTGGATGTATCAACGCTCTCTTTTGACTCTGAAAGTGGACTCTTGTTTCAGCTGCCCCTATCTCAAAGCGCTATGGTCTTCACTGCTACTGAGCTGGGGACCACTTTGCAAACCCTCGCTTCACGGCCGGTGGGTTCCAACGCTTCACTGGCGGTCAGGCCGGTCAGGCCGCCGAGGCCGCCGATTGCTTTTAGCTTGGAACCCATTGATCCTTGGAGTTGGACGCAAGGCACAAGCCCATCCGGCCTTTATCAACAGAAGTGGTATTCAAATGAGGCATTGCAGGAGATTCCCTTGGGATATTGGATGTGGCGTGCAGATTGGAAGCTCAAGCAGCTAGCTCAAGGTGTGGTTTATGATGATGCCACGGGCCAGCAAAGGCCCCTAAGATGTGGAATTGACGTGCCGCATGACTACCCAGATGTGGCCCAAGGTGATGCTGGCTGTGCACGTTTGTGGATTGTTTGCCGCAAGATCATCAGACAACCCTGGGGCCGAGATGGTCTTTTGATTAATCCTGATAATGTGCAAATGGGCGTTGAGGTGCGCGCACAGCAGTTCAACAAGTCTACTGGCAAATACGAAGATGCGAAGGATTTGCCACATACATCGGCATCTCGAGTGGCGCACTATTTGAGCCAAAACTACGATGCGGTTGCTCGCTTCGTACCTGAATTGCAGCATTGCAAGCGTATGGCGGTGCTGCTGGACGTTGTGCACTGGCTGTTAGAAGGCCCGCTTGCCTCAAGCAGGCTAGTGATCGATCGGTGCATTCCTGGGTATACGATTCCGTCCGACTTTCCCGCTGATCATGTGCCAGCGCTGCACACGGTGCATGAGAAAGGACTTCAAGAGGAGGAAAGGGTCAAGCAGCTTGATCAAGAGCTTGAAAGAATGAAGATGCATCTCAAAAAAGGGTTGTGCAGAAAAGGAGGCCCACATCAACTCCTTGCAAGCTGCAGCAGAAGCGCAAATGAAAAGGGTGGAAGATGCAAAGACAACCCTTGATCAGTATAGCAGCAAATCTGTTGATGCTTGCAATTCGCAAGTACAGAAGTACAATGATATCGTTGAAAAACGCAAAGCTTCTGTGCAGGCTTACAATGCTGCAGTTGACGCTGCCAACAAGGAGATTAATGCCAAGTTGGCCAAGCGAAATGCAGCAGCTGAAGCCTGCAACGCTGTGCGGAGCCGCTTCGCTTTCATTGGTGGTGTGGATTTGACAATAGATGTGGAAGTCGAGCCCATTAAGTGCCAAAGTGAGACTCTTCGACAGCATGTCCGGCAATGGGCTGATGCTCTTTGGAAGGAAAGCCGCCCTCTTTTAGAACCGCACCCGGCTAAAGGCCTGAAGCAGAAGATATCGTTACCACAGGAACTTGTGGATCAGAAGAACGCCATTCTGAGTGTTTTTCATCTCTCTGAGCCTTGTCGAGCAGTCACCAAAAAGGCGTTCAATGTTCAGCAGTCGCCAAACTGAACTGGATGTGTCGGTAGGCTTTTGAGGCTTGGAACCATGTCAGGACTGGCATCACCCTGGCAATCGGTGATGGCGCGAATGATGTGCCCATGATCCAGGGAGCCCATGTTGGCATAGGCTGGTGTTCCAGTATATATATAATGCACGTACCGAAGATGGCCGAAGTGAATACTTGAGCAAACACGATGATATTCATGGCATGCACCACCAAGCTAGCCTTCCAGATATTGCAAATGTTCAAACTTGACAGGCATTCGTGGGAAAGAAGGAAACCAAGCAGTCCAGGCGCATGAGTTCTTCCACTGTGACCGGAACATAATCCTCTTTGATATTCTTTGATCCTTTTTATCTATATGGCTACCTGTTTGAGTCGTTCTTGGAGGCCAGTGATGTGGCCGTCTCCCAGTTTCGTTTCCTCGTCCCATTGCTCTTTTGCCACGGTGGGACGCCTGAGTGTTAGCGGGCTCCGCCCGCCACAAACACCATCCATCTCTTGATTCAAACCGCCAAACCACCGGGGTCGTTCAGGAAGACGGGCCTACAGACGTGTGGCCACCTTCATTTGCTACATGTTCTACAAGCACACGGTCCTGGCCATCGGTGATATCTTCTTCGCACACCAGATCACGTCCACTCCTCAGACGTCGCGTCGGAGACGCGTCGGACACAGTCGGACACAGTCGGGATGAACGGGTGCGTGGATGGGGACGCAGTCAAGCAGAGTCAAGCAGTCAAGACAGGACCGCAGTCAAGACAGGACAGCTGCAGGTTTCATGCGAAGATCGCATATCCTGAATGGTTGAACTCTGCGTCAACACCTTAGCATCCTCAGCCTAGTTCTCGTAGGCTAGAAGTGTCTTTCAATGAAGCTCCGTCCAAGGTATGCGAGTGTGATTTGTGGGTTGCCAGTTGTCATAGTGGTGAGCCTGGACTATGACATCCCTGATAAGGCTGGTGGTGAAGGTTTGACATTCATCTTTCGTTTTCAGTATGTACCTGAACAGGTGGCGCTATCCCGCCCAGATCTTTATGTTGAAGGTCCCAGGCAGCTGCGATGGAATTTCATCCACTGCTTTGCTGAAGTGTGCTTTTGATGTGTTCATGGGTGTGCAGCAAGCTGCAGAAAGCGTTGCAGGCGGATGCGCTTCAATGCTCCAATTCTTATCGCATGGATGCTCAGGCAACGTTGCACGGGAACCAATCCTTTGCCATCCTTCGCCTTTTTTCCATGCATCTCGCCTGTTCTTATGACAACTCTCGCCAGTGCACTTTACCACGGTGGAGTAGCATGGCTGGTGCCCAACCTCACCGCCGGCACAGTTGACACAGAGGCGGGCGCTGATGTCCAGAAGGATCGAAGTTCTGACGATGCCTCTGCGCCAGGAAGATGAGTTCTGGTATGCCTCCTGCGTATCCTTCATCCTTTGTGTGGTGCGACCCCCCCTTTTCTATTGTGTAGCCGATGTTAAGAACGGTGTTCCAACCACCAGTCTCGCGGTGACCTAACGATCCAACTGTCTCGATTCACTGCGTGTGAAAGCGGCAGGTCTTTGTGAATTTCAGATTGTGGATGGTCGCCGAAAGCCCCTTTCGCAAAGAAACGGTTTTGGTGCACGCCTCAGGAACATGTCGATTTCTGCTGCTTTTTGCTTCTGTGTGAGGGCAGAGGTGTGCTTTTGTGAAAGAGTCGGAACTTATTGGCAAAATCTGGCGATTAAATATGATCAAATATGCATAATATGCTTCAGTTCTTTTTGGAGACTTGATTTGCCAGATACTGCTGTTCTCCTTCCTAAGCCTCGCAGTGACGTTTGCCTGACATATTTGGAGCACTACAAGCAATCGACCTGTGTACATGTGGGACAGCATGTCCACTCTTTTGTTTGGCTGTGCCCAATCAAGAAATCTTCAGGAACCCGCAAAAATGTATTCAAAGGCTTAAAAACAACACCAGGTTCCTGGCGCACATGCTCCACGCCTCCACGCTGAACTCTGTTGCGAACTCGAGCCAGGTTGGTGGTTCTCGCTGAATCTCCACTTGGAGACTATATGCAGCCCCAGATCGAAGGCACAGAAGTTGTTGCAAACATGTGGTGATCGCACTGTCGAAAACACTGAAAGAAAGTGCCTCGAATTCTAGGAAGTACTCCCGCGACGGGTCGTCATAGTATGATATACATATGCATCGCTACTAGTACGTAACAAGGGCATCGCTACTAGTAACAAGGGTATCGCTACTAGTAACAAGGGCATCGCTACTAGTAACAAGGGCATCACTACTAGTAACAAGGGCATCACTACTAGTAGCTAGAAGCTACTAAATATGATATGCATGATCGCAACTTGCGTTGATCTGCGGTCGCTGGAAGTCGATTGTTCGATTGACAGGTGCCTTTGTTGGAATCTTTAATGAGGCAAAGTTCTTTTTGCCGATGGCCTTCTCCTCAGAGTTCAGTTCCTGATTTGTCCTCCTTTCAACGAAAATGGCTTATGGGCACTCTCAGATCTCTAAGATGAAGTCATCTAGAAGAACCAACTTGGGCGTTGTCTCACATGGTATCGTTCTACCCCGAAATAGAGCTCCAGCGGTGAAGTAATGGACACCTTCAAACGGTCACTGACACATCCAACAAAAGGCAGACCATGCCAAAAAAGACGGTATAAAATAGAGAGGTGTTAAATACAGGGATAATAATACCATATAAAATACCATATAATACCAATTAGGGGTGTGTCTTGAATCTGTTGTTTGATTGACGTTTTATCTCATCCTGAGATCCTCACGCCCCTCGTCCTCTTTGTCGACCTGGCCAGAAGCTCACCGTCGTTCGAGGGTGCCCACGAGAAGAGCGTTGGCAATATGTATTCATATGTATCTTTAGGTTTGGAGAGGCTAGAAGAGACTAATTTTAGTTGTAAGATATTCTAAATTTGAAACCAAAGTTCACATTTTTGTTTGTGAGTTCTTAGTTGTTCTTTTAGAACACTTGTTAAATATATGTTTCAGCTGAAACTACTGACTGAATCTTTGGGGGCCACGTTGTTCTTAGGCCGTCTACCAGGCCATCGCCATGTTCAATCCCTACCCTTTAACAGCTGCCAAAAGGCCAGGAGAAGCAAATGACTCTGCAAAACTGACTCGTCAAAGCTCTTGCTATGCCATGGGTGGTGCTCTTGAGAGTTTTCCAAGATGACCTCCTTGTGCATCCATTTGCAAAGAAGATATCGAACAAGGGGATGTGTTTCAACATGTTGATTGTTAGAGAAAGTGTTGGGGTTCACGCAGGAAGCTGTGGTGGAGCGAGCGGAACAAGGACCGTGGTTCGGGAGCCATCGCGACAAGTTTTCTCTTCAGCTGCAACAGGTGGCCCTTTGATTTTTGCAGCAGGTAGTTGTACTGGTGGGTGTGATGTGTGCTGGTCCCAGTCGGTCCCGAAAACGCAGTCTGGGTCGTTGGAGTTCGAGAGACACTGCTGGTTGAGTTGTTTGCACATCTTGTTCAGCCGACCTTCTCAACCAGCAGTGTTGCACTCCTGGTGGTTTGAGTCTACTAGGTTACTAGGAGCAAGGACGCTACTAGGGGCTCCTGGCATCGCTACTAGGAGCAAGAAGCTACTAGTATTTGGTCTTTGTCGGTTTGGTCTTGGAATTTATCATGTCTTATTTCTTCTTTACAAATCTTGTTCCCCCGACCGCTCCCTGGATCCCCCCCTTGCGACCACTTGAGCCGGGATCTTCCCCGCTGGACTTGGGCCATACATACGTACAGTTTAATTGAATGTATGATACAGATACAGTATGTGAGTATATGCATTATTTAGGCTGATACATCCACACATTCGTGTGTCAGATGTGCCCGTGGTCTTTGTAGCTGTAGTTCCAGGTGGCTTCTATGCCTCAGGGTGCAGCTTCAAACGGTTTCCACACAAAGGGTTTGTTTCTGACGATGAAGCCCCTTCATCAAGATGATTCATTACCTGATGTTCATCATTCCTGGTGATGGTGAAACCATGTGAAACCACTTGCCTCCGGGGCAAAACCAGGACACATTGGTTGACCTACCTGAGAGGTTTTGACCTACCATAGTGGACCAGGGCTCCAGGTGGGTCACGACCCATCCCCACTATTGTCCAACGACTCCCTAGTAGCGCAGTACGGCCAGGAGCCCCTAGTAGCTTCTTGTTCCTAGTAGCGCTGCCCTTTGCTCCTAGTCGCTTCTTGCTACTCCAAAGAGGCCCAGGGCTCCATCCGAATCCAAACCCTTTGGAGAAAGCCAGCGGCGCCAAGCCAGCGGCGTCCGTCGGTCGAGCGCGAGCGCGCATCCGTCGAGCCTTACCACGTACGAGCGCGAGCACGTTGAGTGTGCAGGACAAGGTGAGCAAGGACTGTCAAGGGATGTTGTTTTGTGTTTTTTTCTGGAGGAACGGGTCCGAAATGGTTGTTGGAACTTGGATTATGGGTGTGCATTCGAATGGGGAGACGCCCGCAACCAATGGGTGCGGGGTCCTTGCGGATCTCCCTACTTTAGACGCACCAGTGGGTATTGCTTGACTGGTCCTAATTGGTGCGATGCCTTTCTCCCATGTGCTCCCCAAATACCCATTTCTGATGTCCATGCAGGCAGCGGGAGAGCTTCAATCTTGGTGATTTGCCAGGTGTTGAAGGCAGGCAAAAGCATCATTTGCCTACTGTTTCTGCCCATTTGTTTGCATCTTCTCTTTGAGGTTTTATTTGGGGCAGAGCCATCACAGCAGTTGTGAAGGAAATGACAACTCAATTACTGGGACCACTGCAAGACAGTGTCCCGTTTTTCATTATTTTAGAAGACCGCTTCACGTTCTGTCATGCCTTGCTGAAGAACATTGAATATATCAAAAAGATAAGTAATAGCCAAAAGCTACAGGCAGTTTGGTGCGTCTATGCGATTCACCAACACAAACATCAGATCAAACCGTTTGTTGGCGGTGTTTTGCTCATGAAACCGCTGAAGCGCGGGCACTTCCACAAAACTTGCACCTGTTAAATTCAAGGGCACAAGTTTGCGCGTCAGTTATGCCTATTTGTTAATATTGCGGTGGTTTCACTTGGCAGATATTCGGGATATCATGCATGTGCTGGTTCATGCAAAGCATGGCCAGCGAAATTGCCAGCAGATTCGTTGGCAATTGGAAAATGATCCTGAAAGTCTCAAAATGGAGAATACCCACGGACCATGGGTGTTGGATTCAGCTTTCAGAACATGATCCAATGAGTTGCTCCCAACCAACGCCTGAGAGTTCAACAAGTTTTTGTCAGACATCAAGCTCCAAAACAAGTCGAAAAGGTGGCGCAAGGTCTGCCGTGCACGTTTCAAACGGGCATGTTGCGCAGGGGAGTTCCAGGACGTTTCCGGGGGGGGTCACCTTGACCACCTCATGTGGCGGTTTGAGTCCTTGGTGCAGGAATGTGGTGAAACATGTCCAGTTCACCAAAAGAACCTTGCGCAGAACATATGGAAAGATTTGGCAAGTTACAATCAGTTGCACCTCCAACTGGCTGCAAGTACGAATCAATCAAAGCAGAAGTTCCAGACATTCGAGACACCAATACAGGCTTCCGGAATATGAGGTGATTAGTGACAGTGTTTGATAGACTGACGCAGGGGTAGTTCTAGTGCCAAACATTTACCTGCCACAACAATTGGTGGAATGCAAAGAGGCCATGTCCTGCTTCAAAGTCGCCCTACGGTGACTCAACCACTTTGCACGCGAAGGTCAGTCCATTTGAGCGCAGCTCGGTGTTTCTCAGGCACGAGTAACTCTTTTGAACCACAGCAAAAGGCATGTCGACAACTATATAGGTGTGTATTATCGAATCCTGCCAAGATCCCCTATAAAGAAGGGTGCTCGGTTCATCTCAGTTCATCCGAAACAAGAGTCTTGCTGAGGCTGTCCCAGTCCCGAAGCATGTGCAATCTGGATGGCACAAATGCTTTGGACCATGGCAGGCATCATGTTGGAAAGATTTGGTGGGGTTGATGATGGTTGATGTCTTGGCCGATTTCTCAAACTTTGAGCCGTGATGTCTTGGTGTCTTTGAGAGGTTGATGTCTTGTGGTTGATGAACTGCTACTAGTAGCAAGGACGCTATTAGGTGGAGGCCATCGCAAGTAGGTTGGAGGCCATCGCAAACTTGCCGCCATAAAAAACTACGAACGGAACAAATAGCTTGTGAAGCGAAGCATCACATAGACACCACATCCTCATCACACGCCAACTTTGAGGTGGCAGGTCTTGAGGCCGCTGCCAGCGCGGCAACAGCACGCCGCGGCGTTGACTCCAGGCGGCGCCACTTGGCTTGATGGAGTCGTGGACCTGATCCTCCGTTCGACTGGGTGGCTTTAGACTCCTGAACATGGATCAGGTGGTTTAGGCAATGTTGTATGTAGTTGTCCTTCTTTTTCACGAGGGCAATACTTCAGAATCTTCAGAGATATTGCCTCCAATTACAAAGGTTGGCTCGCACCTAGTACTAGTGGCCTAAGATGCTTGTCGCTTCAACAAATCTTACTTTAATGTGCTTCCGCTGGTTTCGGTATGCCGACGGTCCTCGCAAGGACTCAGAAGAAGTTCATCTTGTGCTCACAGCAAGGCCAACAGCCAAGCATGTTTAGTGCTTGGTTTGGATGGTGTGATTTGTGCCAGTGCTGAAGAAGCCAGCATTGGAGCTTGTAAAGCAGCCTATGCATTGTGGCCCGGCGTGATGGAGAAAGCGCGAGACATGTCTCTGAATGAGGCCGGCGTCCGGCAAAGCTGGGTGGACTATGACTGGCAACAGCTGTTGGAACACAGATCCTCTAGCCTCACACCAGCGCCCCCTTGGCTGCTCTATAAAGTCCAACGGCTCCGACCTGCGTGTCAAGCTGAGTGGGAACTGGTGCTTTTCGCCCGGCTTTGTGTGGAAGAGGCACTGGCATGTCGAGCCAACAGGGCTAAAGGACGAGCTGGAGCACGGCCACTAACGGTGGGTGAGATTGAATCCAACTGGTCAGATCCCTGTGGACTACGAGAGCTTTTACTTTCACGTTGGGGCACTCCCATTGAGGAGTTGCAAGAGGCAATGGCAGATTCGAGGCACTCAGGAACCTTCCGTGCCAGTGACACGTTTGGTGCGATCAGCGCCGAAACGCAATTCTTCGGGGAGGTGCTCGAGCTGGTTTATAATTCTGTGGCCGAAGGAGTCGTGGAAGAGAGTGTCCACGTGATCACAAGCCGAGATCAACGATCCGCGGTGGAAAGTCTGCAAATGTCAGGGCGATCCATGAATCTTGCGGATCCGCCAGATCATCAAGGAACTTGGGCTGGAAAGCAGGGATGGCAGCTGCATCCTGCACTGGGAACCATTGAGGAAAAGGTCCAAGAAGTGGATTCTTTGGCCAGAGCTCGACTTGGCAGTGACGCTTGGACAATTTTTGGATGAATTGATGTTATGAGGATTGTGAGGCTATGCAGGATGTTGATTTACGCCTTCAAACAAGAATGTCGACATTGGTACACCAAGAGAGACCAGTGCTTCAGAAGGGCAAGGCTAGCAAAAGGTGTTGGCATGTTGCACCGAGACTGGTAGACTCAAGTAGACATACCGCTTCCAGGTAGGAGGCCGTCCCTCTTAGGTTGGAGGCCATCGCTAGTAAGTCGAAGCGAGCGCAAAGCTGAATGCGCCTCTATCAGGAGGGTCTCCTGATCGTTGACGATTCCGTGGCCTTTTTACAAGCCTGTGCTGCAAAGCTGAACCTTGGGGGGGGGCCGACGACTTAGTGCGATGAAACAGGTGACAGAGAAACTGTGACTCCAGTGGGGTTGTCATGGCTTGACTGAAACTGCCATATTACATCATATTACATGTTGCTATATATATATATATATACTGTGTATATAATTGTATATATATATATATACATAATGGGGATTGGAATTTCCTCTACAAATCGCCGGGGTTGGGACCTCTAAAAAGCAATTAGACATGATTTTGTTGGTCAGCATGGAGGCTTGTAAGTACGAACCTTGAACTTTCTCGATCTATTTATAGGGAATGGCTGTTTTTGTACAAGCTTGATTCTATAGAGGTGTTGTAGTGATGGTGCAGTGGATCTTGGTACCTCAAGTATGCTGATTCTACAGAGAATTGTTAGCATTGTTTTGCATGTCAGGGACTGCAATTTTATAGAATGTTATAGCGATTTATGTTTCTTGACATTTTTCGAGTTCAATACTCGCCCAATTCCGAGAGTACGACCTTTGTTTTCACTATAAATTTGAGGTCCTTCCAACAGGTGAATCAACGCCTTCCACTGGACAGGTGCATTTTTATGTTTGGCTCCAGTACCCGGTACCTTAATTCTATAGAGACCTATGTTCTTGCTCCTATTGAAAAACACCTGTTCGGCGGTACCTCAGGACCAGCATTTTACAGAGCAAAATCCTCAATGTTCACAGCTGTTTACAGACTCATGACCCTCAATTCTATAGAGCTGACTCCTTGTTTCTGGATGTTTTTTTCTATATCATTCTCAATTTTATAGAATCAACAAGTGACCATTGTTTGAGGGGGTTTGGTCCCAGCATTTTAGCACTATAAATCGCTATCCCCGACCTACCCACTTAACTCCAATGGGGATTAATTATATATATATATACGTATATACATTTTTGTATATAGGAAGTGGTCCAGGTGTATTCTATATACAGTAGGCCATTATTGTTGCTGGCACTTTTACAAGTTCCTGAAAGCTATTGCACCATTGTGATGAGGCACAACTTTGCTTGGCTTCATGGGGCTATGTCAGTCATGGGCACTGGGCAGATGGCCGCTCAAGACTTCCCAGAGACGCGTCTGATGTCAACCTGGTAGGAGGCAGTTTCGTCTTGAGAGGGATAGAGAGATAAGTATTTAAAGAGATTGACGGAGAGAAACACAGCGAGCGTTTGCAGGGCCGATAGGAGAGGGGGCGAGAGTGGACCAATGATTTGGTGAAAAACAAAAACAAGACAAGAAAGGAAGGAAGGAAGGAAGGAAAGGAATTCTGAGTATGTCTGAGTGATTTCAAGAATGGAGGTCTCCCTTCTAGGCCAATGCCAAACTCACTAAAAGCACCATGTTGCCGAGGAGTCAAGGAGCTGCGCAGTGCTGCAGACCTTGCTGCGATCATCCATGTTGCGCAAAATGATGCAAAATGCAAGTGGTTTCTCTTGGACTGCAACAAGAACATCCCCCGAGCCATTCTTGCACTCAAAGTCTATGTTGAACTCGTAATTTGAGTCGTAATCTGTTCATCGTGATTTGCCGGTCTTTGGGATCAAAGGTCCCGAGCTTTAGAGGGATTGCGAGAAGTCGTCGGGCTAGGAGAATCGGTCGGTTCGCATCCATCGCATGCCCTTTTTCTCTCAAATATGGTCGACTGCTCAGTACGACATCTTTAAAAACATGTACATGCAGCCTTTGTGGCTTGGCTTGGCCTCGAAACAGGTCCTGGGGCTCCAAGCCCATTCAATGCGATGAGTTCTCTGGGGCTATGTTTGGAGGGGCCGCCAGTATTGCCGTACACGACCCCAGGATTGGAGACACATGGAGATACCCAAACTCGCATCAAGTCTCGAGCAGATTGAGGCCTTTGATGATGTTCCAGATGACTTTGTGCTTCCAGAAGGGAGTGTCAAGAAGGGAGAAAAGTCACAGACTCAGTTGCTACTCCATTGCTCCGGTCAATGATATGTTCTGGGAAAATTGGAAGCTTGAAGCATCATGTGCACTGCGTGAGGTACTTCAAGAAGTACTGCTCGCAGTGTCACTCCATCTATCCCGACAACCGAATGACCAGGGTGCCGGGCTCGCACAAATATTCTTGGCATGGATCATTACGCAATTCAGACATTGGCTGAGAGCATCAAGCTAGTACGCAGTGCTGTCCTGCCGTCCTTCACAGAAATTGAATGAAATTGATGAAACGGTCGTTGCGATGTGTTCCAATTGCGGCACTGGAGATGTCCGACTTCTTTTGGCCAATGGCCTTAGTGAGTCATCATCGACCCGAGGGTGGACAGACACAGCTTGGACCCACGATGTTCAATGTGTATGGCTGGGTCCCCAGGAAGAAGCCCTTTGCTACTAGTAGCGAAATCTATTGTGAAGTACTCAAATTGCTCATCAGGACGGGCAAGCGGCATTGAGGAGATCCAACAGAAGCTGGTGCGGATCCATCGAAGTTAGATTCTGATAAGATGTTGCATGATTCTGCAAGGAAAGCCAATTGCAATAATAATGCTTCAGCTTCGGAAATGATCATGAGAGTTTGTTTAACAAATAAGGATCAACAAGAATAAGCCAGATCAAAGGGATTCAAAGGGCTTTGGGCTTGTGGATCCAAGGATTCCAAATGTCATTTCCTTGGAACTGGAAAGCCTTTGGCCTGATCGAGTCAATCTGCAACTGATCAAGTTAATGGCAGGCAACTGATCGAGTTGAACAAGTCTTGTGGCTTGAAGCCGCCTTGATGCCACTCGCCCGAGTCGATGCAATTCGGACAGAAAGGCAAAGGCAGCTCAAATACAAGATGGTGGGGTAGGGGATCGCAAGGTGGAGCAGATTGACTGCAGATCGTGCGAGTTATTGACAGGTGAAATCTTAACGAAGAGGCATGCACCAAACATGAAATAATATGAAATATGTTTCCTTTCAATGCGCCAACCAAGGAATTACATGAAGAACCCGAGAGTCATGTCGGCAGGGTGCTCTCCACAGTGCTTTTCTGTTCAGCGCTTCAGATTTACCAACCTATCGACTGATTCGCTGGTCAACTCGACTGATTCGGTCTAAAAGTGCATGTTGACTCAGGCGGGTACAGATGAACTTTGCTGGCATCAAAGATTTCCAGACCAGGGTGGACATTGCAATGCCCTGAGCCATGAAAACAAGATGAAAACACCCACTTATTCGTTGCACACGGGAAGCCCCGTTCGCGTGTTGTCCAAAATACCCGTATGACTCCGTATGATATTTGAGTCAGGTTCACTACCTCAAGACCTTGGACTGGAACAATGATGAAATCGCGTAACTGAGCGACATGAATTGTCCGATGTTCAATTCTGCGGCTGGTAAAATTCGCAGTGTCTGCCGCACTTGTCAATGTGTCCACTTCTTGGTGTTTCTTCCTGAAGAAGGCATCCTGCCGCTCGGATGCCAGGCATCCTCCCGAAAAGCCTGCGAGCTTCGCGCCTTTGCGTTGGTGCGGTCGCTCAAGAAAAAGGAGGTCGCAAGGGTCGTGGGGAACAAGCTGACGTTGACGAAAGCAACCTCTTCAGGGCGAGCAAGGTGACAGTCGACAGATGGACGAGCACCGACAAAAACAAACAAAATGGACTCATAATGGGGACACTCAGTTCTGAGTTGTTTTTTACTAACTGTCGTCATGAGTAATCCCAGAAATCGGACCGTTTGGGGGGATGCGAGGTGGGAAAGTTTTGTTTGACACATGTGGATAGCGCGAACATGCGTGAACATGTTGATGATTATGCTGCAATTATGCTGATTCGAGGGTCTCGTGGGAGTTTGTTGGGGGTGGTCGAGATCATTGGGTTCGTCTCATCTTGCAATGGGCACGATCTCTTCTTGTGGGAAGATGTTGATGTGCGTCTCATATCAAGCGTGCACGTGGGTCTCAGAAGCTGTGAGGGATCAGAGCACTGGTCATAGAGTTGAGTTGAAGTATTATATAATACCTTCCTTTCGCATACATGCTAAGTGTACTTCGGGACTCAGAGCACAAGTGATTAAATACGTGCAGAAATACCAGTTTCGAAGGAACTGTGGCAAGTATATGCAAGTATTACTGTGGGCAAGAAGTGCTGAAAGATGCTGAAAGTACTGAAGTTGCTTGATCTCTCCACTGACAAGATGCCTGAGGTCAGAGTTTTCAAGGTTTAACACCATTTCGATGTGTTTGATGTAGATTAATTAGGCCATGATTGTCATAAGAAAGTGATCCGGACGCAACACCGCCTCAAAATACAAAGCACACATGGCCTTCCAACGGTCTACACCAAATCCACCACGGGTCCAAACTCCTGGGTCACCTTGCTTTTTGACCAAAATGCCACTAGTAGCGGCCTTGATCCTAGTAGCGATGCCCTTTGCTCCTAGTAGCGTTCTTGTTCCTCGTAGTAAGGCCAGGAGCCCCTAGTAGCGTCCTTGCTCCTATGTTGCACATCTGTAGCACGCAGTCTGCAGCCATTGAGGATGAGCAAGTCATAGTGATGCTGTCATCACGGGCGAGGTGGGGACGGCTGATGGTGCGGTCAGGTGGTCGCCTGTGGGGCTCTCATAATGACTCGTCATTGAGCCCTTGTTTTATTGGCCAATTGATATCATTTGATATCATCGATGATTGAGTGTTGGCATCAAGTGCTCTAGTTCACTGTTGGCTCATTGATTCTGATTGCCAAGCAGATATCGATGACACAAACCAATCTCACATGTTTGCTTCAAAAAGAACTTGTGTCAAGTTTTTGGTCTCTTAGCCGCTGCTGGACTGTTTCGGTGCAGTTTTTAAAGAGTCTTGGCACAGCTGCCAGCAAGAAGACCGTTTTGTGAATGAGTGCAACCGCAATCAGCACAGCACCACCAACCAAGAGAAGACATGTTTTGTAAAACACGCATCTTTAACCACGAGCCAGATTGTCAGCAACCCAGTGTAATCACAATTTAGTGTCCGACAATTGAGAAACACGAGGCAGTAGAGTCGAGGACACCCACAAATATGCACCCATGTCTAAAACTTCGATCTGGGGAGAACTCCCCGGACAGACATGCAACACAACACAAGAAGGCAACTACACGGTGAAAACCAGAGCAGCGCTTGGACATCAGCAGGATTGAAGCCGACTGAGGTGGCTACTTGCGTGAGTAGCTCTTGACAGGTGTTAGATCCAGACCTGTCCAGAAGTTCCACTTGCACGCGAGTTTCAAAACGATGTTTGCTGCAGCTGACAGTGTGAGTACAGCCCAGCTCCGCAGCACAGATTCAAGGCTTGCATGCGATGTCCTTCATTGATGGCTCCAGTCCCGAACACACCAGAGCCGAACTTCCTTCCATGAGAAGAGAACAGCTAGAACTTGAGTTGTTCCTGGCCTCCACCATCTTCAAAAACCACGCTTTCCGAGGGCACGTCGCCTTTTCTTTTTGGGGCCACCAGATGAGGTCATGGTGCGTTGTGCCATGATCAAATATGATCTATGCCAAGGGCTGTTGCGGTCATCCTCTTGGGTCAGATCTTCACGCTAGTTTCTGGGCACGGCCCTGCCAAGTCTTGGAAGACATTGGGCACTCCCGGGTGGAAGACCTTGAGGCGCTTTCTCCGCCAGCGAGGTGGGGTGTGGAGCTCGGCGCTGGAGAGCGGCCCCAGCGAGGGGCAAAGCCGGGGAAGCACGTGCGTGGCACGAAGAGCCATCCCAAGTGGTGAGTTACTCTTTGAGATCCCCATCGATGTTGCCCTGTGGCGTGGTACAGCCACTGTGGGTAGATCATCTTGGCAACACTTCTCTGCGCTCACACAGACTGAAGAGCTGATACTTTTCCTGGCCATGTTGATGAAGTCCAATCGTCAGCTCGGTGATTCACCCTTGGCGACCTACGCAGCTCTATTGACCCAGGAACCGCCTCCCTCCTCGGTTCTTTGGGACCTGGAGGAACTCGGCTGGTTGAGCGGAACCGAAGCCGGTACCATGACGGAACACTTCCTGCGGCGGCTCGCGCGGATTCATGCGGCTGCTCCCCTTCTGGTGGAATATTCGGACCTCAAGGTGCGGTGAAGGAGATGTTGTCCTTGGTGTGACAAACCAGTGAGATAACCCTGGCTTGAAAAGCGGAACGCGCCAGTACATGTCATGTTCATCCGCGCGTACTTGTTTTCTGCTGGTACTGGTAAGTGCACATTCTGGAGGCCACAAACATCATCAAACATCACTTGGCTCAGATCCTTAGAGCACTCCACTTTCAACGTTTTGATCATGGAAACTCCCAATGAAAAAAACAAAAAAAACGACCGGGGTTTCGGTGGAGGTGGCCTTTGCCCAGTACTACGCCAGGCACCTCAAGCTGCCCCTCGGCCTCTTGGCACGTTGGCTTTCCCTCAATGGAGCAAACAGAGATCAAAACGGGAGGGTCCGGTGTTTGGTGTTGAAAAAATATACTTTTGGGAGGAGGCAGGTAAATGCAATAGCTCGCAGTGAAGGCAGTGAAGTTGGACCTGAAAGGGATATGGAGAATCATGGTAAAACATGTATTAAAACGTGATTAAACAAAAAAAACTGCTAGTTTCTTGGTGTTGTGTTCCCCTTTGACCAAAAGTGGGTCTCCCTGGCCCTCACCACATTCTGAGGAGCCGAGCAAGCAGAGCCAATCATGTTGGGGCCTGAGATCAGAAAGGCGAGAGGATTCGCCCAGGATCCACTTCACATGTTGTCATGCATTTTTCATGTGGGCCATTGAAGACTAGCTCAACTCAGGGGATCTATGGGGATTTGAGTTGTTTGGAATACTCGTACCTTGCACTAGTCTTGTGCTAGTCTTGTGGAGAAAAGGAACATGCACAAGAAACTACTAGTAACAAGCGCATCGCTACTAGGAACAAGAGCATGGCTACTAGTACAACAAGAAGCTACTAGTACTAGTGCTGTGATTCGTCGACCCTCCGACACATGATGTGCCAGGCTGCCTGGCATCGACTCATGTCGACATCGTGAAGGGTCTGCAAAAGCGGTCTCCCTGGCTTTCGCTTGTGGGGCCAATTAGGACAACACGTCAGGACAAGCGAATACAACAGAAAGCAAGACAAGTTCCTTTGAAGTCACGTGGATGCGCAACAGTTTGTTTGTTTGTTTTGTTTAAGGTTGTTGTTTGGTGATGTATATTTGGTCTCTATCTAATCCCTTCACATTCCATGACTTCTTGTAGTTTTTGTTTCCATGTCGTGTTCGCAGAGCAGGCCAGGCCTGCCTGTCATGCGTTTGACATGTTCACGGCCTTCCAAAGATTTGAGCTCAAAGCTCCGACGTTCATGTGCACCAGGGTCCGGTCACGGTCCGGAATTGCAGTCCTTTTGGCAGCGAATGGCTGGCATTTGGTGCTAGGTCTTTCTACCGGAGCGACGAGTCGTGGCATGCTTACGCCATGCTTATGCAACATCACGGCATTTGCTCTTTTTCTCGATTCATTGGGTGTTTCAACGCACCTCTCAAGTCCGAGCAGTCCGGACACCGAAGTGTCCCTGTCAAGTCGAAGCAAGCTCCGCTTAGGTTCAACTCCGATCCTCCACTCCGCTGAAACCTGGAGACGAACTCTTTGTCGATGCCGGCGTCAGCCCAGCGGGGGTTGGCGGCTCGACCGTTGGGTGGTTCCAACTCGATCGTGGTGGAACCCTCCAAATCGGCTGCATTCCATCCAATTCATCCGTCTTTACGGCGGTACATGGCCGTGCGGTACATCTCATGCGCAGGTCGAGGACACCACCGATCTGCTGCTGAAAGGCGTCCGTGCCCCGGAGCGCCCGATGCCGAACCCGTGCCTGAACGTTTGTTCCGCCAAGGATGAGAGGGTCGACCTGAAAGGATTCGCCCTGAGGGCTGGGGAACTGTTAGCAGTCGGACTCTCACACCACAGAGGTGCCAGGAGCAAAACCTCAAAGACTGAGCCATCCTATGAGGTGCCACTGGAAGAGAACGGTAACCATCAGCAAAAGCGTCATGAGCTTACGACTTGTGTAAGTCTGTAGAAATTGCCTTCTTAGACTTGAGCAAATCCGCAAGATAACCCTGGTTTAAGTTGCAGCATGTTGCAGCTATTGTACTTTAATATACTTTGATCGTCTATAATCCATCATGAGAACGAGTTCCAGCACTATCTCAAAACCGAAACCTATTTCCATTTTGAGGTCTTTTGCTTCAGCAGCTGGCTTGGCCCAGGGAGGCCAATGGTTGGAGGTCTCCTCCATCGAACCGTTTGCAGTATCCCCGTGGCGGTTCCAGGTGCGCCTGCGCAGTGACGAAGTGGAGGACAGCCGGACCAGGCATCAAGAGCAGATGATGAGCGGAAGTAGGAGAACCTTTGGGTGTGTATTGGAATAGGGAGACCCCCCCAAATAATAGGTGTTTGATATTGTTGGCCTGCTTTGGATGTGTTTGCTCGTCCCAAAGGTCTTTAGGGTGTCTCCCTATTCTAAACCAGATAAATCCACATGAATCCACATGAAAAATCTCGACTCCGATCCAGACAAAGACCTCCACCAATACCCAAAAAGAGCCTCGCCGTTTCGAGTGGTTCGCTGCACCCCACACTGCCTTTCCACGAGTTGGGTTGGCTGTTTGGTGCAACAAGCGTAGTGGCGCACAGGGACAACCATACATGTTGCATCCCCATTTCGTGGATCCATGTTGGTGTCTCCCTCAACTCTTCCTTCAGTTCGGCATTTGTTTATTGTTGATTTGTCATTTACGCGTACCATCAATGTGTTCATCGATGGTGCGCTCCCAAGCCATTGTACTTCTACTACTGTATCGTATACTACTCTCATCCTTTACCCCAATCTTAGCCAGGAGCATCCCATCGGAATCTGTTAAGTAAGAAGTCAGCTTGCATAGGTCGTAGTTGTTGTACTCCTGTGCGGCACGTAGGAGTCAACATGTAGTCGCCGCTGTTCTCGTTGCTGGCCTACACTACGTCTGCAGAAGCACATGAGAACAGCATCATTGAGCCTCAAACTGGAAGACATCATCTATACACAAGCTTGGCCCTTTTCTTCTTTCTATTCCTTTAACCAGCTTTGCACTATTCTCTGCATCTATGTGATGCGTTTCTCCTGAGTTTGCCTTTTCAGGACAGATGTGTGTCAAACACATGATTCCAAAACGGCGCTTCACATCTAGTGACAGAAGTGCTCCTGCAAGAAATATGGGTGCGATGCCTGAATTCATAGACTAATCTGGGCACCTTGTCCTCGAGCTCCTGGCACATTGTTTGTAACTATGATCTTGCACACCCTGGGGTTGTTTGCCATTCTTCCTTGTTGCAACTGGGTAGTATGCTTTGACATATATTATATTGACATGCCGTTGTTCGTTGTATTATTTGCCCTTGGAACCACCTCTGCAACATGCGACATTACTTGGTGCACTTCCAGGTGAGTGGACCAATCCCGTTGTTGCAGGAACATGCAGGGAACTATATATTGACATCCATTGACCATGTGGTATGGCTGTTCAACTCCTCAAGGACCTCCAGAGTTTGCGCTTGGCTTCTATGCCTGATGAGGAGTTCACAGCTTGGCGTCAGCCTTGGTACCTGTTGATCTTTTGCCCAACATACTTGATGCTTAAAGATGTCTTTTATAGTAGAAACCATATGAATTCATGCATGTCAGGAAGGAAGGATTAAAACAAAAAATATAGACTATACCTCTTTGATCCTCTTTGTGTTCGACAGCTTGCAGACCTCTTCGGTCGCCACTCGTGATCCCTATACCGAGTCATTGAGGTCTGTTGGGGCCTTGGTGGGCGGCGCTCCCTTGGCGGTGTCCCGGGCCTTCCGCACGGAGCTGCGCGCGTCCAAGTGGCTGTTCACCATGTGCGGAGCTCGAGAAGAAGCCGCCAGGCCGGGTTTGTTGGGAAGATGGGTTTGTACTTGTTACATCTTGTTACTAGTGGCTTCTTGTTACTTCTATGCGATGCCCTGCTAATTACTAGTGTTACTAGTAGCGATGCACGTGTTACTGGTAGCGATGTCCGGTTTGTTGGCATGTAGAGGAGTGGTTTCTTGAGAGAGAAGGTATGCTATAATACGTGGAAAAGGAATCGAGAGCACAGAATCTACAGAGAGGAGGAGTTTATATATACATCAAAGTGCGCTTTTTGAGCATGTTCTGCATGTTTGCTTGGTTTCATCATGTTTCATGACATCGAACTGCTTTAGATGTGTCGGTTCACTGGAATGAATCCATCCAGACACTCCGGGCATTGATCGCAGTTGACTCCCAAGCAGTCTCAGTTGCTTCGTCAGAGGTGGACTCCCGATGGTCTCGAGCAAGCCGTGTCCAATCAAGCAAGCCGTGCCAGGATTGCATCAAGGCACCACTACGTCTTGCTACGATGTGAAAATCGTAGTGAGACGAGTTCAATTGTTTTCATCGCATGTGGTCAAGCCTGCCAACCAATATCGAAAAAACAAGGTTAATCAACGTTTGTCCTATTTACAGTGGTGATCCGGAGAAGCCTCCGGAAAACGTAATTCGGTCTTCGCGTTTCGTTTTTCGGCCTTCGCGAAGAGCATCTTCGGACTGCGGAAAACGTTATTCGGTCTTCGCGTTTCGGTTTTCGGCCTTCGCGAAGAGCATTTTC